AAGAGGCTTCCACTGGATTTCAAAGGAATTCCTGGGAGGCCAGGCCATGTGTAGCAAGGTCCAAGTCCCCCTAGGAAGAAGCTGTGTGTGAAAACAAGGCAGTGTGTGGAAACGTGACAGTAAAGTCACATGCCAGGAATGAGGAACATCAAGGAAAAGTGCAGGCAACAGCAGAAGCAGAAGAGAGAAGCTGTTTAGTCTGCAGCTGGCAAGGCCATAGGCACTCGGGCTCCACATCACCAGGCCCCAGGCAGGTCTGTTCTTAAGTCTCCTTAGAGATAGACGCCTCTGCTCACACATCTCTCTGTACCACACTTCCTACACCAAGGTCCTCAGTCGTTTACTAGTCTTTCACTCATTTTCCAGCCTCTAGATTTTCATCCTAGAAGATGTAACCTTTAGAACAAAGTTCTTTTAAAAGTTTTCAAAGCCATACAGGTGACATGTTCGTTCGCTTGGTTGGTTGGTCGGTCGGTTGGTTGGTTGGTTGGTTGGTTTTTGGGGGGTTGGGCAGTTGCTGGGGATTGAACTCAGGGCCTCGCCCAAGCTAGATAAGTACTCCACTGAGCTACATCTTCAGCACTCTAACATCTATACAGATACACTGAATAACATCACTGATGGTCAGTCCTGCCCCATCCCTACTACACATTCCTCCCCCCATGTACACACTTCAGATTTTGAGGCAAATTCTGGTAAACTAACTAGTCAGTATATATATATACTTATTTAAAACTCTTAATTTCCATTTCCTCTGTAAAGACTCCAGAAATACAGTCACATCCTGAGGTACTGTTGTTTAGGGCTTAAACTTCTGAATCTGAAGGGAGCAGAGTTCGGATCACAACAAAGTTATAAATTAACAACTCCTTAGCATACTAAAATTTCTAGTTAGCACCCAACTTTTACTACAAACATGTTTGCTTTAACTCATCCAGTAAGTTCTACACATTGTATCTACTTGTGTCTCCTAAGCCCCCCTTTTTGTGGGTTTATATTTTTCTTTTATTGAAAATAGATGTTTTCATACAATATATTCTGATAATGGTTTCCCCTTTCCCAGCTCTTCAGGGAATCCCCCGTCTTCCCTCCCATTGGAATCCATACCTTATCTTAAGCCTTTTACTCTTTTGTACTGTTACAGTTTACAATGAGACAAGTCCCATAGAGCGGGCCATGTCTTCATTTTCCTGCTTATAGTTATCATTGGGTGTTGTTTTCTCTGTCCTCTGTATGTATGAGAAACTGTCATTGAACTCAAAGGTTTCATTGGCTTCTGATTTCTTGACAAGTCTGCTTTGTAGGTAACAGTGGATTCTTTCATCTCCTCCTTTGAGGGAGATGAAAACCAGTGGCTTACCTCCATTTTGAACATCAAGGGCTGCAAGATGACACTTTTCAGAGTTTTTCATCCTTTGTTTTGCTGTTCTATCCCCAGGTGGCGCAGTTAGTACAAGAGATGTAGCAAAAAACATGTCTCAGTATTTCCTCATTTACGAAGAATCAGTGATTTGGTTCTTCAGTGTCCTCCAATGTCACAAATAAGGCCGTTTTCTTTATTTTCTCTGTGTGTATATATGCACATGCCTGTGTAGAAAAGACTAGTCTTCAGGAAAGGCGGTGTCTCCACGTACTGAATCACCTTGCACTTCTCAGAAGGTCAGTTGACCATACCTTTTTGGGTCTATTTCTGAATTCTTTTCTGTACCATTGACTTATGGGAAAGTCCTTGTGCTAAAACATGCTGCTCTTGTTTCTGTACTTTACAGCAAGTCTCAACTCAGGTTATATAAATTGTCAGATAAAATGTTACAGTTGTTCATACAAATTATTTTCATTCTCCCAAGACACATGTCTTTCTAGATAAAGCATAAGTCAGTTTGTCGGTTTCCACAAGATAAGCTTTCTGAGTCTTCTAGTCTCGTTCTCTTTCACTGATTTAGGACTTCTCTTCCATAATGACTTTCGGCTTTCAGAATATTGTGCTTATATGTGCTTTGTCAAGTGCGTCCTTAAGTTTTTCTTATTTTTCCTGCTCTTGTACATTTACTTCCTTTCCAAGGCTTTGTAGTACACATAGATATAATTGTTATTGATCTGTGTTAATTAGCTAAGCTTTTATTCTGGCTTCCTTAAATTTCCCTAAGTACATGATCATGTCACCCACAAATAAAGATAGTTCTACTTCTTTCTAGTCTATATTCCTTTGTTTTCCTGTTCTTGCTTATGGCATGGATGAGGATCTCTAGTGAAACACTGAGTAGGCATGGAGAGTGGACACCAGCATGCTCTAGAGGGAAATTGCTACTCTGAGCACTAAGCATGAGGTATAGGTGTGTCTTATCTGGTTGGGAAAGCGCCTGTCTATTGCTTGTGAGTTTGTCTCCTGTTGGGTTTTATGAACTGCTTTCTGCATCCCTCGGTTGATCCTGAAATTCTCCCATCCCTCTGCTACCATGGTGAGGTAGTTACTAGATTCCTACGCTAGTTGGCACTGCTTGTGGTAGCACTTTGTGTGTTGGGAGATTCCATTGCTAGAGTTTTCGTAAAGGTTTTTGCTCCTATGTTCATAAAGTATGTTGATTTATGATAGACTTTTCTTGAACTACTATTCTGGTCTTGTGACATGAGCTAAGGTCTGTACTAAGTTTAGTACTTTATTCTTAAATGTTTGGTGGAATCAGTCAATGAAAACAACTGTGTTGAAACTTTTTGAGGGAAGGTTTTAAATAGATCTTTTTATTCAGATTAAAATAGTTTTATGTGTATTAGTGTTTATGCCTGTATTGTGTGTGTGCGTACGTGCAGCACAGATGTGCCTAGGGCCTGCTAAGGCTAGAAGAGGGTATGGGATCCCCTAGACCTAGTGTTACAGATGGCTGTGAGCCACTCTGCAGGTACTAGGACCAAATCCAGGTCCTCTGCAAAAGCAGCCGAGTACTTTTATCTGCTGAGCCATGTCTCCAGCCAGAGGTTGGTTTCCTTAATAGAAATATTTAGCACTCTTTTGTGAATGAGTTTTGGTAGTATCCTTAAACTATTTCATCATAAATGTTTAACTTTTGGAAAAATGGTTCAAAATAGTCATTATTTATCTTATTAATGATTATAGAAGCTCCAGTAAGGTCGTGGCTTTCCTAATGCTTATAATACCTTCCTTAAATGTCTCACCATTACTGCCATCCTCCCACCACAACAGCCAGTGTGCGAAATGAATGGTTGTGTTTGGCTTGTCTGTTTCCTGCAGCCCAGGCTGTGTGGTGGTCCTGCTCTACCTTCCAAGTGCTGAGATTATAGACGTGAGCCATCATGCCCAGCCCTGGGCTGCTTTTCCATTTCATTGATTGCTGCTCTTTATTCTGGCCTTCCTTCAGCACTCTCACTTCTTGGTTGAGATATTCTTTTCCTATTTGAACAAGTCAGGAGAAAACCCCAAAGCTACTAGAATAACCGAATTTAAATCGAATAGTAATTTTAACCATTTTTCTTACATTTGTATTGTTGCTTTTCAAAGTTAGTTTCCTCTGTAGCTTTTCTGTTGTGAAATAGATAATGTGAGTTTAAAAACATTTTCAAAGGACACAGAGAACATTGAGGAATTGCTGTAGTCAGGGCAGGCGTAACAGGTTATCTCAAAATCCCAGTGGCTTAATGCAGCAAAGATTTGCTCGTACCATGCATTAATTGTGATTCCTCAGTGGCTTTGCCCTATAGTCAGGACCCACACTGGCAGAGCCACCATCACCTAGCATGTAGCAGGGAAGAGAACACTGAAGGATGTCCCCATGAGGGCCAACCTAACAGCGAGGATCTAGGAACTAATGTGTGTATATATACGATATGTAATGTGTGTGTATGTGGGGGGAAACGTGTATGTATGGCATTTGTGTGTATGTATATGGGATGTGTACATGTGTGTATGGGTTGTGGTAGGGGCAATACGGGCTACTGAAGGACTGAAAAAAATGGGTAATTTTCATTGTGTATATTTCAGGAACTTCAGCTTTGTACCTTATCTATTATATATAGCAAGTTTCAAAACCACTATCAAGCAAGAATTACATCTTAAAAGAGTTTCATTTATGTTTTGTAAGAATAGTTTCCTTAACCAACAGCCAATTGCAGTCTTCTGTGGGTAACAGCAGTAACAGAATCCCTTGCATTTGGATGGTGCCTGTTTCTAGATTCTTTCCTCTACAGATTGGGCCCCTTTTTTCATTTCCACTTGTGACTTGGGCCATAATTATGCACCATATTTTTAGAATTGATCTTAGGACTCTAAAGGTATGTGACAGCCACCCTGACAAGTTCACAGGTTCTTGCCATGCAGCCGGCCCACACAGGCATCTCTAGTGCTGATGCATTTCCTGCACCCCAAACCCAGTGCAGACACAGCTGCACCTGTCTTCCCATGCTGTATTCAGTGCATTAAACTTAAGATCAGAAATGAGATTCTGCAGCACAATTGTTGGATTATAATAATATTTGCAGTTACTAACCCTTTTTATTCCCCAACTCCTATGAATGTACAGAGAATTTTCCAGAAGCGATATGGTATGTGTGATACCTAGACAGATTAAATGCAGATGACATTAGCTGATATTAAGGTAGACACTAAAGCAAGTGTGAAACAGTGTAAATTTTCTCAATTGTTTTTGGTTTGGGAAAATATAGTGATTTTTCATTTAAAAATATTATTTATACCAAAACTGTTAGGAGATCCTTAAACCAAATAGTAAGAATTACTGGTATGACTGGGAAAACTGCAGTGTACTGCAAGATTTCTTTAAACAGATGCTGTGTTAGGTGTACCCAACTCAGCATCTCAAGTGACTGTCAATCTAAGTATGGTCCTTCTCCCTGCTGCTCAAAGAAACTGAAATGGGAAGCACCTGGGCTGCCTCTAGTCCCAAAAGCTTTGTTTTCTCTAAAGGGACATAAAATATAGACTGTTTACAAAAATGGCTGTTAATGCTGGTCACTTTTGTTTCCTTTCACAGAGGTTACTCACATGTGTTGGTATAGTAAAACAACACACAAGGAGCCAACAATAATGCAGTTGAAGGACGTAAAATGAGAACCGTAAGTTCAAGTCAAGAAGAGAGTAAGTATGGCACGTTAGTATAGTAAATATTAGCATGTTCATTATAGCATGTTCGTTAGTATAGTATAGTAAGTATAGCATGTTCGTTAGTGTAGTATAGTAAGTATAGCATGTTAGTATAGTATAGTATAGTATAGTATAGTATAGTATAGTATAGTATAGTATAGTATAGTAAGTACAGCATAATCTAAAGATAGGAGCTGGGCTTGGTGGTGCATGCCTGTAGTCCCAGCTCTCGGGAAGCAGAGGCAGGTGAAGCTTGGTCTTCAGAATGGGTTCAAGGACAGCCAGGACTACATGGTGCTACAGATTGGAAAGCACCGAGGGAACCAGCCAGGTCGGCCAGTGCTTCCATGCTGGGCAGATCTGAAAGCAAGTCTCCAAGGCACAGATGCCTGGAAAAGGCCTTCCATGTCTGCTCTCCAGGTTGTACTTGAGGCAATGAATACAGGAACGGCTCATATTCTTTACATCTCTGAATCCCTGTGGATACTTCTCAAGGGAAATTCTGGACGGGTGGAGTACGATTTCACCTCATCCTGGGAGCCCATTGAAAGGAGAAGATACTGGAATTTTGAGTATTTATAGTGAGTTATGGGAGAAGGGGCTACATACATAAAATTCTCTAAGAAATGTCTCATCTGAGAGTTTTGATTTCTGTACCAGATTCAGGAACCACTGTAAAATGACCCAAAACCTCCTTTCTTGCCTGCTCCCTTTAATTGCTCTTACCACCTCCAGATGCGTATCTTCCTGAATTTTCTCCCAGTTGTGATTCTCCTGCATCTTCTGCTTCAGACTCTTCTTCATCCAACCTTTCCAAGCAAGGTCTCTGCTGGAGCCGATCCTTTCTTCACCTTTCTGAGCCCCTGGGAAACACTGGGTCCTCCAGATGTTAGCCAGTGCTTTCTGGCTTTGCTAATTCCAGTCTGGAAAGAAGATATAAGCAATAGAATCCCTGAAGGCAGAGCATTCTCTTGCTTCTTTTACTCCAAAGATATACTTTTAAAGTTGGATTTTAAAGAAATTGTTAATTGTCATTTACTTTGGGAGGAGCCGCAGCCTATGTGTGGAGGTCAGAGGACATGGAGTTATAGGGTCAACTCAGGTCATTGGGCTTGGCAGCAGACACCTTCACCTGCTGAAGAACCATCTCACTGGCCCTGGATTTTTATGATTTATTTTTAATTGTGTGTTTGTGTACACATGAATACAGCTTCCCATGGAAACCAGAGACATTGGATCCCCCTGGAGCTGGAGTTACAGATAGCTGTGAGCCATCCAATTGGGGGCTGAGAGCCAAACCGGCTCATCTACAGGAGTGTGTGCTCTTTACCACCCAGCCAGCCCTTGGCCAAGGGTTTTTGTAAATGGGAACCCTCAGCATTTTCCTCCCTCACCCTCATTTTAAGCCAACATTGGCATGTTTAAATTTAAGCCAATTTCTCTTTTAGTCCGAGGAGGGCTTTATGTGGTCTGTTCTTCCCTCCAGGCTTCCTGATCCAGGCCACCACTCATCTAGGCATGCAGTGTAAGTCAGGTGGACAGCTCCATTTCTTTGTCCCGGAATGGGACTTTTTCAGAAAGGATCAATTTAAACTGGAGTGTGCACAGGGAAAAAGAAACCTTGAGTGAAGAAAAGTGCTTGCTTCTTTAGTGTCTTTTATAGCTGTGGTTGTAAAATACTGCATTTTTAATCACAATGTTTACATCTTCATATAAATAAATGGTTTCCCTTAATGAGTTTGTGGCACACTAGACTGATGGTCCTGGGGAGTCATGGTGCACACTGTGAACAGACTGATAGCCTCCTCAACACTGGCTCCTTCGCCCTCAGTCTTCTCACTAATGCTCTGAAATTATTTGGTCATCAGGCAACTGAGGCCTGTCATTTTTCTTTACTCTGTGAAGTATACAAAAGACGGAAACAGCTACTAGTGTTAACTATTGTACCATTTTGTCTTCATTTTAGTATTTTATGAATATATGTATTGTTTGAACTTGACGTATTGCTGTTGTTTTAAATATTTTTTTCTTTGAAAATCATTTTGATCATACTCATCTCCCTATCCACCCAACTTCATACATTCTCACTCATTTGCTCCTTCCTTCCTTCTTCCTTCCTCTCCCTGGACTCCCCACTCTTACTCAAAAAACCATCAAACCTGTTTGTGTTGGCCAACTAGTTCTGGACATGGATCTTACCCTGGAGTATGGTCAGTTATCAGGTGTCATTCCACTACAGACAATGGACTGTCCCTCTCCTGGCACCGATAAAATGCCAATAGCTCCTCAGCTAGGGGCGAGACTTGGTGACACATTCCCTCTTCCATTCTGGGATTTAGTGTGGCTTGAGTTTGTGCGGGTTTTGTGCATGCCATCACAAGCTCTGAGTTCATATGTGCATCTGTTCTGTTCTGTCCAGAAAAGTCTCCTCAAAGTCATTCACTACCTCCAGCTCTTCAAATCTTTCTGCCTCCTCTTCCACATGGATCTCTGATCCTTGAAAGGAAGGATAAGATACAGATAATCCCATTTAGGGCTGGGAATTTCAGTCTCCCTCTCTTCATGTTGACCAGTTGTGGGTCTGTATGCTAATTGCCAGCTACTATAAAAAAAGTGTTTCTGATGAGGGTTGAATGATGCACTGATCTACAGATATAGCAATAAATCATTAGGAGTAGTTTTATTGCTCTATCCATTTAGCAGAATAATAGTATGTTTCCTCCTAGGGCCTAAAACCTATCTAGCTATAGGTTCTGGACCTCATTGATGATGTCAGGTATGGGTTCCATCTTGTGGAGAAGGCCTTAATATCCAATCAAAAAGTGATTGGTTACTTCTATAACATTTATGTTATAAATTATAACATAATTATAACAAACAATTATAACTATTACCAGGCAGGTTGTTATTGTAGCTCACAGAGTTCATAGCTGGATGAGATAATTACTTTTCTCTGGTAGCATGCATAATACCTTCCAACAATATGGAAGCTAGCCAGTAGTAGCCGTGAAGCTTCCAGGTCAGTACCAGCTAGATTTCTCCATGTTCTATGACTCAAGTATGTAGTATCTTCAGCAATAAGGTTTTACCATCATTTTCTAGAGGGCAACCAATACATTGGCAATAGGATGTAATGTTTGGGTGCAGGTCTATGGACACCATTGACCAACAACTCAAAAAATAGGTGACCCATTCCTGGTACTGGTGGTTTTATTTGGAAGCATATGGTGGCTAATTGGGGTATTGCCTACCACCCCCAGAATAACTCCATTTAAATGTGTGCTTTCAAAGAAAGGGTCTTTTGTTTTTTAAGACAGTTTCTCTGTGTAGCTCTTGGCTGTCCTGGAACTCACTCTGTAGACTAGGCTGGCCTTGAACTCAGAAATCCACCTGTCTCACCTCTCAAGTGCCAGAATTAAAGGCATGTACCACCACTGCCTGGCTCAAAAGGCCTTTAGTATGGGCTGTCCCTCACCATATTCTATTATCTATTATGCCCTCCCAAGCCTACCTCACTTAATCATTCCTGTTCCATTTTTCATTCTCCAAAATGTATCATGAAGGGATATTGTTTTTGTCACAGGCCTTTTCTACATCTGATGAGATGATCATGTGGTTTTTGTCTTTATTCTATTTATGTGGAGAATTACATCTATTGATTAACTTATATTGAACCACCCATGTATCACTGGAAGCCAACTTTATGAGAGTAAATAATAATTTTTGATGTGTTCTTGGATTCTGTTTGCAGGTATTTTGTTGAGAATCTTTGCATTTATGTTCATAAGAAATATTGGTCTTTAATTTTCTTTAGTTGGTCTTTGTCTCATTTGGGTATCAAATACCAGCTTCATAAAAAGAGCTTGGAGATAACCCTTCAGTTTGTTTTATGGAATAACCTGAGGAATATTGGTGTTTTCTTTGAGGGTTTGTTTGGTAAAATTCCAAACTGACTCTATCTGGCTTAGGCTTTTTTAGTTGAGAGATTTTTAATTATTGCTTCTATCTCTTTAGATATTACAGGTCTATTTCAATTTTTAACTTCGATAGGTTGTACACATACAAAAATTCACCCATTTAAGTTTTCAATTTGGTGGAATACAAATTTCAAAAGAATATACTTAGGATTCTGTGAATTTCCTCAGTGTCTGCTGTAATGTCATTTTCATCTCTAATATTAGTTTGGATCCTCTCTTTTGGTTAATTTGCCTAAAGGTTTGCCAATACTGTTAATTTTTTTTAAAAAGAACTAACTCATCTTTTCATTGATTCTTTGTATTTTTGTTGTTTCTATTTCATTAATTTCACTTCTAAGTTTAATTCTTCCTGTCTTCTCTTTTTGGGTATGTGTTCTTATTTTTCAAAAGCTTTGAAGTGTATCATTAAGGTATTAATATGAGATAGCTGCAGCCCTAGCTGGTCTGGATCTTCTATGTAGACTTGGCTATCCTTGAACTCAAGAGATCCACTTGCCTGTGCCTCCTGGGAGCTGGGATTCAACACACATGCCACTATGCCTGTACGTTGCATAATATTATACCCTGCATTTCACTTAAAATATTGTAGAAGTTTATCGTTATTTTAACGTGTGAAAAATTTCAAGTATAAGAAGAATGCTTTTCACTAGAAAACTAAATCTTCCTATCTGAATAAACTTTTTAATGTTGTTTTTATATAAGGGATCAAACCCAGGGTTGTGAACATATAAAGCAAATGTGCTACCACTGTGCTACACCCCAGCCTTCTTGATATTTTTTAATGGCTGCATACAGTACATCTTAACGGTGTTCCTACCGTCTAATTGTTGACATTGCTCATATTTATTGTTGTTAGGATTTAGTGGTTCTTGTTGCTTTGTGTGTGTGTGTGTGTGTCTATGCGTATTTGGTATATAAGTTGTTGTTTGGAGTTTGCAGGGGATGGGTGCCAGGGATCAGACCCAGGAGGGGTTTTTGCATATTCCAGGCAATGAACTTTATCCCCCCAATCTTTTTTTCTTGAAAGGCCGTTTCTGGAATCTCCTTCCTTTCTTGGCTTCTTCCTCTCTGACCTCTTTCCCACTTGCCCATGCATTTGACACTCAAGCTTCAACTCATGCCCTTGGCTCTTGTATTTATGTTCTTGGGTACCAATGCTCATCCCCAATCCTGTTCTTTCCTGTGTTCTCTCCCGTTGCCATATCTAAACAAGCATATCCCAAAGAGAAAGCCTGCTCTTTCATAGGCTCCCAGTATTCTCAACCCAGGTATTTTTGAGCGTTAGAGAAAGCTAGATGAAAAATATGAAAATGGCTACTCAAAGTGGCCCTAAACATAACCTCTAAATCTCACCATCAGAAGGACAAAAAGGGAGGTTGTGTGGAGCAATTGGTCATTACCCTGTGCCTGCTTCTTCTAATGGTTTGGCTGAGGTAAATACAAGTATCTCTTTTACAAGTTATTAGAAACCAAACTTAGTAGAGAAGTCACACCTTCATGTGACATTTCAGGACAGCTCAAACCCCGACCACCTTTGACCCTCATCTCTGTGCACAGCATTAGGAGAGGTCGCTGTACAGCCACCGGTCACCTAGTAACACTGCCTCACTCCACTCACAAGTCACAAGCCGGTGCACGTGGAGAAGCACGTCAAGTTTACAGTCGAGAGAGCACCATGATAACATCAAGGTTTTTCTTCTTTTTGCAGGAAAGAAAATAAAGCGAAGCTGTTTCTTGTCCTGTGTATTCATCAGATCGTCTTGAAATTTAACTAAAATGACAGCTGTTCCTTCAGAGAACTGCTCTTTTCAGCACCTGTTACATGAGTCAAAGCAGCCCCTAGACGTTAATTGTCTGTTGTTCTTGATCATAACTGGGAAAACATTATTAAATATCCTGATACTAGGGATGAAAAGGAAAGCCACCTATTGGAGTTTTATCGAGTATTTCTGCTTTTCACTAGCATTTGTTGATCTTCTGCTGTTGGTAAACATTTCCATTCTGTCCTACTTCAGGGACTTTGTAGTTCTAGGTGTTAGGTTTACAAAATACCACATCTGTCTACTCATACAAATCACCTCCTCCACTTATGGCTTTTTGCATTATCCGGTTTGCTTACTAGCTTGTATAGATTACTCTTTGACTCTGTCTGGAGCCACCAAGCATTCATCTAAGTGGCAAAGGTTATTTTACCCCTTGACAGTCCTGCTAACCTGGATTTCAGTCCTTGCTTATGTTCTAGGAGAGCCAGCCATCTCTCAACGCTTGCAGACACACAGGGCTGCTCTGCACCAATGCCCTTCCTATGTTAGCACTCAGAGTTACTGGCTGTCATTGTCTGTGCTGATGGTTTTATTTGTGGCTTTTCTGATTTCATGGCCAGAAGTTGTTGCCTTGGTACAGGCTATGAGGATGGCGTCCTATATGAACGAGACTGTCCTCTCCTTCCCTTTCACATCCCACTCTGGTCACACTGTGCGCTCTAGAGAAGCACTCTTGCCCAGGCTTGTTGTGTGCTTTCTTGGTACCTGGTTTCCCTTTGTAGCACTTCAGGCCCTCACGCTCTCACTCAGAGTTCCAATCCCAGCGTACGTAGACATGAATGTCCCCTGGCTGTACTTTGTCAACAGTTTTCTCATTGCTGCGGTGTGTTGGTTGAACTGCCACAAGCTTTATTTAAGAGGCAGCACATTACCTGTGGATCCTTTCGTCAACTGGAAATGCTGTTTTGTTCCAGTCCATAGACTTAAGCAAGTGGAGAGGTCTGTGTCCATAATCATCTGTTAATGTGCTGCTGTGTTGGGAGAACTCCATCCAGAAGCACCAAGATCAATCTTAGGAGCAGGACAGAGGTGGCTCAGGACACGGCTCAGAACACGTAACTGAAGCTCGTGTCCCCAACTTTCATCAGCACAGCCTCTGTGTGGTGGATATCAGATAGTGCTAAGGACACTTGAACACCCCAAAGTTTTTATCCTGTTTAGCAACATTGTGTAAGCATTTGGTATTAATCCAAAAGGAAAATAAACATGAACATGTGGCCAGCTTGATGTTTTACTCCAAAAAACTACTGGATGCAAAATGTTAAATAAATTTGAGGTTTCACTGCCAACTTTAAAATCTGAACTTAAATGTTATCAACTTTAGAGCAAAAAAAAAAAGACAAAATGATTTGGTATAAATAAACTTTAAGGGGAAGGTTAGTTCATTTTAAATATAGCTAAAATATTTTATTGCAGATATTCCCGGAAAGTTCCAGCTGTTCAGCTTATGGAGCTGGGAACCATGGGGGCTCTTGCCATGACACACCAATTGCATGTTCATTTAGAACATGTGCACATCAGATCATAGTCATGTTAGCAGCATATGCTACAAAAAGCATTGGGCTATTGAGATTTAAGGCTATATAATTCTGTCTTGTAGGGGTAACCCCACACATTGTATAGATGCCAGTGACACGTTCCCCAGAAGTGGCAATCAAAAATGTCTCCACATACTCCCACCCCACTCCCACCCCCAGGCACAACTCCCCACCCCCACTCCCCTGGAGTGAAGCAATGTGGGTCAGAATAAGCTGAAATCACTTCATGAATTAAGTACATAGATATTTTGGCTGATATTTACAAATACTAATATGTTTCAAGAACCACCCCTAGAATTTCTAAAGTGAGTGGCTTTTAGAGAAGCCACGACTCACTTGGTAGAGCGCTTAGCAGCACACAAAGCCCCAGCACCACAAAAGAGTGTAGTACTGTGTGCCTACAATCCTGTACCTGGGGCGGTGTATGCAGGAAGACCAGAAATTCAAGGTCAGCCTGGGCCACATGAGATCATCCAGTCTCCCTCCCCCCAAGATGTTTTAAAAAGTAGTTGTGACCTATGGAGTGAAGTTCATGATCCACAAATGGGTTGCGTCCTGAAACAAGTGCCTTGGAGCAGCAGTAACCACACAGGTTTGTGTGCCTGGCGCTGTGTAAGTACCAATCACGCTGCCAGCACTGCCGCATCCTCTCTACATGCTCTCGCAGGGAAGGACACTAAAGCAGCAGCGTTAAGCCTGCCCAAGCTCACTCGGCTAGCGTCCCACTAATGAATGTCCGCCATTCATTAGTCCCACTCACTGTTTCTCAAGAGAATGGCTTGTGATAGTTTTTACTTAAAACGTAGTTTCTGTGACAGCTTAAGGAACTGAGGTCCCGTTTCCTTGAGCATCCAGGTCTTCAGGTTAGGACCAGCCACCTAGAGACAAGTTGGCCATGCTGCTAGGTGATTAGGAGTTCTGAATGAGCTGCGCACAGGGCAAGCATTCCTGGTCTAAAACGCTTTTGGATAAGGGATATTCAATAATGTCTGAAAAACTTAAGGTATCCAACATTCCAGATGACACCTTGTGATGCAAACCTAACCAACCTGAGCCATTCTAAGAAAAAGGGCACTGGAGCAATGAAGTGGTCAAACCAGAAGACTGTCTCTGGGATGTCAAGTTTCATTTGCTAATGCAGAGGACCTCTGGCTGCCAATAACCTAGGCTTTTATTATCCCAATTTAGAGCTCCTGCTTTCAGATATAAAACTCAGTGAGGGATTGGCCTGATTTAAGTCACATGCTCATCTGTGGTCAGTGTTGCTGCAAGGAGACACTGGGAGGAAGGGAACTTAAACATTAGGCTGCAGTATTTAAAATGTTCAAAACTTAGGCATTAACAGGTAAGAAAAGGTATAAATTCTTAAAATGCAAATAGATACAATGACATCCAAAGCCACCATGCCTGATTTGTGTGTTGCTGGGGATTGAACCCAGGGCTTCAGGTAAGCTAGGCAAGCACTGGGCCAAAAGCAAAGCTCAGTATACCTGAGCCTATGAGCAACAGCGTGTACTTGAGTTCAGATGTTAGAAGCTGGCCTTTTTAATTCACTGGTACATGTTTTCCTCTCCCTGTTTGTTTGTGGGTTTGTTTTTCTTTTTTCTTTTTCTTTTGTCTTCCAATTAGCCATAACATGAGAATAAAACATACTTAGCAATATTGAACTTAATGTATACTTCTTGTAGATTATATACTAGGAAATTTATAACCAGTTCAGCCCTCCATTAAGGCTTTACTTAGATTTCCCCATCTCTCAAAAGCTTAAAAAAGTAAAAACTCAATAACCAGTCAGGTTTTTATTTGTAAAGAACTGAAGTTACAACTGGTCTACAATATATTATCGTAATATAAACAACATAAATAAAAGATCCTGTAGGCCCACTACTAATCTTCCACCCAGACCCACTCAAAGCCATGTCACAATACTCTATGTGGAAGTGCAGGGAACAAAGGTGCAATCCAAGCAAGTTTAAGCAGCAGAGTATAAGGTGCTTCCATTAGCAGTTAACATTGCCAGCAAACATCTGATGCTCCATTTTAGTCACCGAATAGACACACAAACAGGAAGTCTAAAGTTCATACACATGCGACTTAATATGAAAGTGCTTTCTCTTTTCTTAAAAAAATACATCAAATGAACACTTTTTACATAGATAATGGTGTGCTCTTATAATGCAAAATTCACTTCATTTTCAGGTTATACACTGTAAAACTGTAGCTAGGAACACCAGTCGAGGAAGTCTATGCTAAGGTGCTCGAACTATGTCATTTCCTGTGAGGACTCTAATACAACATTCATGTAAGACACATTTCTATAACCTTAATATTTGCTTTCTCTAAGATTAAAACACATTCTCTTGCCCCCTTGGTGGTGCTTTTTTCCTTGATGAATCTTTTGAGATTTTTTTTAATTATGAAACTTAGATTTTAGAACAATGGGAGAACCAAAAGGAAGTTGTCTTTTTTTATGTGCTTAAAACATTAAAAAATAGTTAATCACAGAAACTTGCCCTGTGAAACAAATTTTAAGCAGTAAAGAGACAAAACATCCTCACTGAATCACGAGGCTTCAACTACCTTTGCCTACTGTCAGCAACTACCCCTGTGCACAGCCGTCTGCAACATTCAACCTTCATTTCCAGCACAATCCTGCACTTTCCAAGAATTTCTGCAGTTTGGAAAAAGAAAACCAAGACGACCCATCTTTTGAGTGAGGTGATCAGCAGTCCATCAATGTGAGAAATCACACACACAAAATTATAATCTTTATATTCTCGGCTGAATTCTGAAGTTCCAAGAATACAGCTACAAAAACAGCATTAATGCAACAGAGATCAACAGCACGGGCTACTTTACAACTTAGGTATACGCTAAAGAACTTAAAACACTTTAAAAGTAACCAGCATCATAGAACAATTTACAAAGGCCGGATTATTGGGCTATTTAGATTAGTATACTTTAAAAAAATCTGTTTGAAAGCATCTATCATATATATATATATAATCTAACACTTTATTTGGACATTTTCCCACTTAAAAAGCTACAGCTATGATACATAAAAGTTTTTAAAATATATTTTTATACCTTTATAAAGAATGTTAGTATCAACTGATGTTAATATTTGAAGCAAAAACTACCACCTGATTCACAGAGTCCCAGAGGGAAGAGGGAATTGACCCAATTGCAGCTGATTCTCACTCCATCTTGACTACTCAAATCCTTGCTGGCACAGCAGGGTCTGCTTTGTTACCAGCTCTGCATTTCATGAGGCCATAACGCACCCTCTTCTGACTGGCACACAATACAATCAATACTAGAAACAGCAGCAGCAGCAGCCTGTTCTCCTGGTCTTCTTTCAGATGTTTCTGTTTTGGAAAACTGCTACACTGTCAATACTGGATATAAATCTTGGTGACTGGTCCTGAGGCTGCCTGTCACAACTCTCACAGTTGGTCACGGTGAGCACTCTTATGTTGTCAACGGTATGTGAAAGGTGGTATGAGAGCGGTGATGTGATTTGGACCCTTCAGGTATTATTAAACCCTAGTTCCCAGGCAACAGGGCATTAACTGGGAGTAAGTACATATGTGCTTCAGCAGCAGTGAGGTTGTTTGGGAAGACTTGATTTGTTTTTTTTTATTTAATATAACCCAAGTGTTAAATAGTTTACAAATGGATGAATAAGTGCATGAGTAATAGTATTCACCTGTCATTCAGTCAGGGCAGGGGTAAATAACCAATTATGTAGCTCAGGACTGTTTTTTAGAGCTGGGGAAAGGCGTTTCTTCAATAATGACTTAAGCCAAAATTCAACATATTTAGTAGTGCAGGCATCACACTGTATACTCGGATGAAATTCAAAACCAAGTAATTGCTCAAGGTGTCACATACAGCTAAGGTGCCGTCTACCGAGTCTCAAAGCCACCACGCTTCATCTCCACTCGGTATGGTAATGCGGCAAGTGTATTTATGTTACTCACTACTGAAGGAAAATAGTAATTTTGCACACTTAGTGCTACCAAAACATTAAACACAGGCACTATGTACAAGGACTTTAAACACTGTACATATTTAGTTCACGTGAGGCAAGACTTAAAATGCCCCTCCCTTCTACAGCAGCTCAGGCCTGTTTCAGTGATGATGGAATCTACCCCTCTCACCACTGTCAGAGAAAGGTCCACAAAGCACAGGTTAACCCTGACAAATCCCACTAAGCCCATAAGCAGTAGGCACTCTAAGTATCTAAGATGATGACTGGCATTGATTTAGACAGTATAAAAGGACATAACTACATCCCTCTTTTAGTTCATTAAAATTATGCCATGCTAGTGTAATGATGTTTTAAATTTATACTGATTTGTTTTCAAAATTAAAATTCATTCATTATATACCTCTTTAAAAATTTTCTTTCTATACCCAATACCAGCAGTATCACGAATAGCAGCAGGTATACACTTGAAAAGCAACAGAAAGAACTCTGCCTAAAATATAAGGTGTTAGAAGCTCATTTGTACCTAACATTTTATTAAAATTGTATTTTTAAATAAAATGTCCACAAGCTATCAAAAGGAAAAAAAATAAAACCCCTGTGGAAATAATTTCCCATAACTATGGCACTTGCCAGCAAGTGTGTGTGCACATGAGAGTCTGTCTTAGGGAAGCTGGGAGCACATCACAAAAGAGGTCAGGCCTCCTAATGTTCTTCTTTGGAACATGGTAATAAGTGTATTTTAACTGGTACCTTGTAACTTTCAAAAAGAAAAAAAAAAAAAAAAGGAGCCGGGCGGTGGTGGCGCACGCCTTTAATCCCAGCACTCGGGAGGCAGAGGCAGGCGGATCTCTGTGAGTTCGAGGCCAGCCTGGACTACCAAGTGAGTTCCAGGAAAGACGCAAAGCTACACAGAGAAACCCTGTCTCGAAAAACCAAAAAAAAAAAAAAGAAAAAAAAAAGGTTTCTCTTAGTGTGATTTTAAAGTAGATTGAACTTGTGCACAACTTGTAAGGTCTTAACATTTTAGGTAACTTTTTTAAAAAAGCTAATGTCATTTTCAACATTTTAAATTGAAGGAACAGCTTTTACTTCAACTATAAACTATAGGGTAATGCATTTTTATAATCTTCTAACACATGAGAAATATCTTCCCAGAGAATTTCTGAAGATGTATGGTTCAATAGGTTAAAATTAAGTATTAATAAGAAAACATTTATTTATATTGATAATTGTGAGTTAAACAGTTCATGTCATGAGTCTTTCTGCTTTACACCAAGAACACAGGCAGGCTTGGGGGACCCTGTCAGGAGAAAAAGCCAATCACCGAACCTCAGACAGACACAGCAGACCACCTTACAGTGCCTTTCCTCATGACCGCTGCAAAACTAAAACAGCTGTGGCATCTGATGGGGAAACTCCGATAATCGCCCCCTCAATCACAACAAACTCCTAAGTTTTCACAGATACTCTCTCCTCTTACTAGTTCTCTTAAGAAATCCAGGCTCGCTCACTTGGGTACCAGTGGGACTATTAACATCAGAGCCTCAGAGCAGGGTCAGGTGATAAGAAAAAGAACTCATTTGACTACAAGCAAATCTTGACACTGGAGCTAACTTTGGCACAGTGGCACAGACCTTCATTCCAGCACTTAAGAAAAGGCCAGAGGATCACAATTCTAGGTAAGTCTAGGCAAACAAGCCAAAAACACAGTCTGTAAGCTCAGAGGTGGAGTGTGAAGCCCTGACTTCAATCCTAGTCCAGCAAACAAGACAAGACATCCTAAGACCTTTATACTGCTATAATGGGAGTCCAACCATCCATTACCATGGGTCATTCCAAACTGCTAATGACCATCATTATGCTAAATGTCTCATTTAGTTGGCAGTGTCATCTTCTTATCTGCCCTCCCCCCACATTAAAAACAAAACCCTTCAGGGTACAACTAGTCACACAGACAGATGGTGCACAAGAAACATACCTAGGAAATTATTTGCACAGATGAACAAAGCCTTCATGGAAATACAACCTGGGAAGTTATAAAGGTCTAGTCCTGTACAAAATCCTGAAGATTTCCAAGCCAGGATACTACCCAACTCCAAGCCAAGAACTAGGAAGAAAGCCAGACCTGTGTGGTGTGTTTGGAGCAGGGTTGGGGGTAGAGGGGACTTAGTGAAGGAATTTGGTGAGGCCATTCGTGCCACCAACAATACCAGTTGGCAGCAAGTGTTGCTGGCATTCACAAAGGATGAAAGTCTTCAAACTGCAACATATAGCCAGCCTTTCAGGTTGAAAACATGTTTGAAATGCTTCAACAGTATTACCAGTCAGATTTCATACACTGGACATAGCTGTAAGATCAGCTTCATTCACATGCATCAGTAATAGTTTATTCTTTCTAGAATCACATATACACATGAAATCAAAGCCTCAAATTACATGACTCTATTTCCTCCCTACTACTCTGGTCCAGGATAGCACTGAACCCCTTAAAACATGGCTCTGAGTTCTGAGGCACACAACTAAACAAACTTGTGAGAAACTGTGTCCCTTGAAAGACTTCAATCCAAGATTTGTATTTGTAAACAGATAAGTGACTACAATTTCGCACTTAATATATGAAGGTTGACTAAAAATTACTCAAAGGCATGGTCTCACATACTAGTTTTCTAATACAAAAAACAAAAAGAGGAAAGCAGCGGGATTCCTAAAACACAGAAAACCACTTCTATTTATTTAGGTAAAGCATGAATTTTAACGTTAAAAGTGCAGAAATGTGTTCAGCGTTGCAATAATGGAGTGAGCACCAGTGGGGTCCATTGGCCTCTCAGCCACTCTCTAGCTCATTCACTGTCATTTCTCTCCTCTCTTCAGCACCTCTCCTCCCAGGGGACAGCTTTAACCCGGACTTCACAGAAGGAACTCCAAGACAACGCAAGTGAATGTAACCATCGCAGCTGCAGGCCACCAAAGCTCTCAAGTATGGAGACAACATTCCTAGGCTGTGCTGATTTATAATGAAGCTGTGTAGCTGTGCTTTTACCCATGTCTACACAAAGCTTGTAAGTATTGTCAGAGAAAATAACTTTTACAAGCCAGCTGTTTATTTTCCTAAGAACACAGAACTTAAATAAAATGTGAAAAGCATGTCCCATAGTGGAAAGGGGGTTTAAAGTAAGGAAATGCAAACTCAGGTAGCAAAAACAGGAAGAACCCATGTTCCCTTTCTGGTTGTCATTTTTTTTTTCTTCCAAGAAAGTTCTTAAAGCACTTAGTAATACAAAAGGAAGTGAAAATGGCATTCTTTCTATCTATGTCATACCGAACGGCCTAATGCTCAGGAGATGGGGAACACAGGGTGTGTGTCCCCCAATACATGTAATTGAAACTTTCAAACTAGATGATTAAACTATCTAGAACTATTCCTGCAGCAATGGGAGAACTACCAAATGACAGCAAGTAAGCCATTTCTAAATCAAACAACCCACTCGGAGGAAAAAAGTGTATTTTCTAGTTGAATTTAAGTTGCGTGGACAACAGAAGATCTGGACACAGTCAAGGACAAGAAGGCATCTCCAACAGAAACTCCTCTTGTAAGCTGCTTAGGGATGCTTGAAGAGAGTGCTCGGCCCAGGGGTTTCTCATAAACACACAATGAGCTGATTCTAGTAGAAAGGTAGACTATATATAAGTATTTGTAGGAGGGAAGCATTATTGCTGGAGGTCTATACTGGACAATCAATTCTGTTTTAACTGTGGATTACTACAATACAGTTTTAATTCCAGAGGAAATTTGCCTCTGTGCCTCCTTCATATAGTAGGCAATCTCTTAGTGCTGCTTAGCCTTGTTTAGGAGAATGAGGGGAAAGTCTATGACAACTTCCATGATGACTCATTACTAATAAATGAGATGGACTATAGAGTATCTACCTTTCTTGAAACATTAGTAAGAAAATGTGATACAAAGAAATATGTAACAGACTATACTACTGTAGGCTTGAAACATGAGCCTCACACTACTTACACATTCTGAGTCTACAAAGGACTACCAGTGAACACCTCTTAAACTACTACACTGACAATCCCACAAAGCATACATTCAAACAAGAGGCATCTAAAAGATTAAAAAAATTAGCCACTATATTTTTGTATAAAAATAACCAACATTTTCTAATGTACATAAAGCCAAAAGATAAATATCTGTGATAACCTTTGTAACACCTTTTAGTCTTCTACTAGCTCAACACAATTTCTGAAAAGAGCCGTGAAAATGAAGCAGCTCGGACTCTTGCTGTCTCTTACATCTGTGGCCAAGTCTTCGTTATCCGCTTCGATTTCTCAAGGATGTAGTAAAGGTACAGAAAGCAGACCAAGTCATCAGCTCTTCTGATGCCCAGCACTTTAAGGCTTTCAGAGCATTTACAGGAAATTCTGTCTTAATGTCCTAACTCCAGAAAACTGCTGAGTGGAAACTTCTGATTAAGAGAAATCCCTTTAATGTTTTGTGGGAAGACTCCAAGGACTTAGTAAGGGAGAAAGAAATGTGCACTCTAGACAGACTGAGCAGGGTTGCTTCGAGAGCACATGGGAAGGGGTCACAGCTCCACTGCCAACTCTCCTTGCTGGAAGAGACTCACAGGCATGATGCATCTTACACCATCAGTGCAGAGCAACAGTCAGGAAAGGTGACCATGGGCCAGTGCCACATCACAGTCACATGTCCTGTAAAGCAGTCTCATCTTATAGACAATTTTATGGATTTTTCTTCCCCTTTCTGGTATACAGTAAAACTGTAAAAAAATACTTCAGCAGAACATTAATGCCATTTGAATAGTACCTCACTATACATGTACTCCTTATCATACCCTATCTTTTCGTATGTCCCTGCAGGTGAAAAAGAGCAACATGCAGCACTCTTGGCTCACCAGGGCTTCTCAACCTTGGCACTACTGGCATCTATGACATATCATTCTTGGTAATAGTCCTGTGCACTGAAGGATATTCGGCAACATCTCTGGCTGCCACGACCACCTCCTCAACTCCTGGAACAACCCTCTCCAAAACTCAACCCCAAGCTGTGGTAACCAGAATGTGTCTAGATATTGCCAAATGCCCCCTGGAGGACAAAAAGAGACCCCCACTGAGAACTATAGCTCTGAATGTATAGAACCAAGAGGAAAACTGTCTGGGTGAAGTCTAGAAGAGACTCTGTGACCTCCATAAACACTGCTTATGCAAGAACACAATCCTTCTTCACAGCCAGAGCATTTGTCTGGAAGATATGTTTTTAAAACATACTGATATTTCATTGCACTCAATTCTGTCAATGGGCTCCTAAATTACCTTATATCTCTATGATAACCTTTGGAAAACTAACAGGGTAGAAAAACGTATAAGAAAACAGAATCAAAGGAGAGGGAATGTAAATCAGTAATTATTTTTAAAAGGATTCTTTTATATTAATGATAAACATTACCTTTAAAAAATTATCTAGTATAACATATTTCTTTGAAAAATATGGGCCTCTGTAACAAGTCTTTCAGTGTTGTATGTAACTGGTAAAATTAACTTCACCAATGTTGGCTAATTCTGAAAGTGTACGATGAGTTATGGTATCTGGAGAGAAATGTGGGCACTGGAAGCGGCAGTCCCAGTGTGCTTGGCCTTCCATCGTCAGTCGAAGATTCTCAGCCAGAGGAGGCTCTACCTTTACCTACTAAGAGGAATAAAATGATATTACATCAAAGCCTCGGCTTCCTGTTAAGAGTCCTTCAGAGAGTTGATGCGTGCACAGATCTTCAGGGCTGGGCCCAGCTTGATGTTCATTGCACTCATAAGATGGTCTTCTTTTAGCAAGAGCAGGGCCTGTCCGTCAATCTCCTGTGCCCTGAACTCATCCGCGACATCCTGGCAGCCTGGAATTCCAGGAGAGGAAGGTTAGAGTCAGACATTAGACGAGCTCCTAACAGTGATAGTTCTGCTGTCCCTGGGTCTGAGCGCTTGCAACAGAGGCTGATAAACCAATGTCCTGGTAAGCCTGTGCCCTGCCTGCCGGGCTTCAACGGGTTCTCGACCACCCTAAGGACGGAATGATAGAGACAGGAGATACAAGGAAACACACCAAGTCTAGATTCTGATCAAGGTGCAACTTTATTTTTCTCCAAGAGGGTTTATATAGTTCCTGCAGGGTGCGGGGGAGCAAGAAGCTGTCATCTGCATAAGGTAGGGCAAGCTATCAGGATGTTTGTATAGGATGTTTACAGGGTGAAAGGGTCAAGGGCTCTGCCTCAGTGTCCTGTTGCTAGGCAACTTGACTGTAAGATGATCTAGTTCCCTGTCTTATCGGGGGTCTGTATTTTTCCACTAACTAGAGATTCTATCCTTGTCCCTGACAAGCCTGGGGTTCATCCTTGAAGAAGTGAAAACCAAGGAAAGAGCTTACTTGGAAGTCTTGCTCTAAGAACATTGCAGAAACAATAGCAAGAGGTAAGAGGGACCAGTCAATACATTGTATTTCCCATGCAAAAAAGTACTTCATTCTGAGGCTTTACACCTCATGGACTCATCTTCCATAACATAATTTCATATATAGGCAGAGTGGAATAAAATGTTTGGCCATAAATAATAATCTAGAAATATTTTCTCAAGTGTCAGATTAAACTTTCATTATCACCTATACCCTTCTTTGAATTCGCATAACTCCAGGTATGTCTAAGATATTTGTAGTGTTCCCTCAGGACAGAACAACCCCCTCCAGGACTATTGTACTAATGTTACAGGACTGCTGACACACATCAGACCGTTCGACTTGTAACATCAACTTCAAAGCTTTACACCGCTGAACTCATTTCTAGTCTTCGTTTCATCTCTGGAACAGTCTATGTAGCCTGTAGGCTGGTCTTAAACTTATCCTGCTTTCCCACCTACATACTGGGATTACAGGAAAGTGCCATACCGCACCCCCACCCTTTTTTAGTGGTGCTAGGAACGGAACCCAGAGCTCTGGGGATGGCAGGCAAGTGCTCCACCCCTGAACATGTCACCACACCCCTCAGCACTCCTCATCTTCATCTTAGCGGAAAAAAAAGACATTACAAAGCAAGCTGTCTCTGAAATCATGAAGCTGCAGGACAATCTCCTGCTTCAACCTAAAGCAGGCTCTTGCTACCTGAACCCGACTGTTCTATGGCCTACCAAAACACCCAATCATTCCCTATCATGGGAAAAAGACCTCTAAGTTAGGGAATGAACTAAGGAACCCAAAGGGGAGAGAATGCAAGAACAAGAATGCTTCCTTACAATAGTAAAACTATAAAAGTTAGCTTAAGAACAAGATCTAACATTTTTACAGCCTTTTTGTATTCAATCAGTGTTTCAAGGGGAATCACAGAAACAGATGATGAGAAAAGGAAATGGTTAATTTGCACCTTGGAATCCAACAATTTTGCTAGACTGATTCTCCTCTCCACTGTAAATGTCATCCTCTAGCTTGTACTACGATAGATAACAAGGCCTACCTTACAGACCCATGAGCACCCCCAAAGCACTACAGTGCAGCACTCATACATTCATTTACATAAGGACGAGTGAAGAGATGATGGACTGGAGAAGTGCCATCCACTGTGGAGAGCATGCGTGGCAGTAACATGTTTTGATCATGTGTTCACTTGTGTGGCCATCCTTTTCCTCAGTGTGCCTCACTGACGGTCATTTCTCTCTTCAGTGGGTTTTATAAAGCAGCCAGCTTTTCAATTTCTCTATTTTGGTAATTTCTCAGACTTTCAAAAATTTATATTTCAAAATCCTGTATAAAATTTGTATGGCTTTGCCCATGTACCACACATAAGAAACCATATAGATGAAACAGGATTACTCACCATAGAAAAGCCCTTTTTCTTTTCCCAGAGGTAGCTCTCAACAAAACTGACTTCATCCTTCTTTTATGGAAGAACTAACGTTCTTCTCTCCAGTCTTACTTATAAGAACCAGGGAAGGAAAGAAGAGAGAAAGCATAGGCTTACTTAATTCGGAAATCAGGACTAAGGAGAGGAGGGCCACAAGAGCTACATTTGGGAATAGAAACAAGGAGCTACCAGAGGAAACATCAGCATGCGCTCAGTCCTCTTGACTGGGGTCCCTTCCAGATGTCTGCTTGTAAAGGCACTGGCAAACTAGTTTTAAAGTGTGTTGGGAAACAGCGTGATTAAATAACATATATTATCATCATTTTTAGATCCCAATTTTCTCAAGCCAATCACAAAGTATCAGTAGCACAGAAATGAGAAAATAAAGTGACTTATAGAAAGGGGGAGGGAGGGAGGGGACAAACAAGTGCACAGCTAGAAACTCAGCGGAAAAAACAAGACTGTTTTTAGGTTAAGTATTCAAGATACTCGGAGTAAAAGTTCTGTGAGTTCCTGACGCCCTCCCTGACTGCAGCTCACACTGACGCCCTCCCTGACTGCAGCTCACACTGACGCCCTCCCTCCCTGACTGACTGACTGCAGCTCACACTGACGCCCTCCCTCCCTCCATCCCTGACTGACTGCAGCTCACACTGACGCCCTCCCTCCCTCCCTGACTGACTGACTGACTGACTGCAGCTCACACTGACGCCCTCCCTCCCTCCCTGACTGACTGACTGACTGACTGCAGCTCACACTGACGCCCTCCCTCCCTCCCTAACTGACTGCAGCTCACACTGACGCCCTCCCTCCCTGACTGACTGACTGACTGCAGCTCACACTGACGCCCTCCCTCCCTCCCTGACTGACTGACTGCAGCTCACACTGACGCCCTCCCTCCCTGACTGACTGCAGCTCACACTGACGACCTCACTGACTGCAGCTCGGCTGCCTCACTCCCCCTGTCCGAGTGCAGAGCTCTAGGTAAGGCACTGGCCATGCTCCTATCCCACCTCAACTTTCCAGTGTCCATAGTCACTTCTCCCACTTTAAAATCTAAATCAAAACATTCTGTGCACAAACTGACCTCACCCAAGTTGTAAGAAAGACACCAAGTGCCACTCAATACTGCAGAATAAACATGTCCCCAAAGACAATAAAGTTACACTTTAAAGAAATTATTCCCGGGGCTGGAGAGAGGGCTCAGAGGTTAAGAGCACTGACTGCTCTTCCAGAGGTCCTGAGTTCAATTCCCAGCAACCACATGGTGGCTCACAACCATCTGTAATGAGATCTGGCGCCCTCTTCTGTATACATAATAAATAAATCTTAAAAAAAAAAAAATTAAAAAAAAAGAAATTATTCCCACAGAGAAATCAATCTGTGGGTTCACAGATGAGTATAGAATGATCTCTCCAAAAGGGCAGGTCACGAAGGGGTAGTATACAAGATAACCTGCTATTAGTTGAAACCAGAAGTGTTTCATGGAGAACTTCCAATGCACCCAAGGTTCTGTTACTTTTCACTCTGACAACAGCTCTGAGATATGAATTTGCTACTTGGAAGCTTTAACATAGTCCCAATGGGTATTTTAATAACATGATAACACAAAGATAACAGAAATCCAGGAGTAAATACAGGTGCCCTGATTACAAGGAAGCTCATCCTATCTGGAAAGAAAATGTAAGAGATCACAAAATATAAAATATATAAGCTTGTTCCTACTATGAGAAAAGCTTCTAAAAATACTCAGGAAAAAGAAACAGCCTGAAGCTCAGAAAGTTATTTAAAAATACCAGAGAGGCAGAAAGAAAGAGAAACATATTTTTCTAGTCTAAGATTTACCCTAAGCTACTCTGAGGAAACCTTTCGGAAAGGCAATAACTGATTGCACAAATGGATTATTTGGTCTGCTAAAGCAATTCAGAAATGCTCCCATTTCATCAGCAAGGAGGGAAGAACACAGGGAGGGAGGGTAGGAGGAAGAGAAGAAGGAAGGAAAAGAGGGAGGGAGCGAGAGAGGGATTCAGGACGGACAGACGGACTAAATAGAACCAACCAAGGCTGTCTCTTCTTAACGATATGTATGAACTCAGTAGTAAGACAACAATGTCCAGTTTTTGGTGATGGCTGCTGGAATCTAGTGAAGGAGGAGCAAGGCAAAGTTCTGACCTAATGAAGCAGTCCAGAGTAGGGGCAACACCTTGATGCTGGGAAAACTGCCATAAAAAACAACACTTGAAGTAATCCACGGCTCAGCAGTAAGGACAATTTGCTGGTCATCTGGGACAACTAATTTCACTAGACTATACAGCAACTCCCCTACCCAAAGGGAAAGACACCGCTGCTCTCAGAAGAACCCAGGCTCACAGACATACTATACACCCCTTAGGAAACCAGACTATGAGGAGGGCGGGACGCCCGTCCTGGGTAATCAGGGTGGGTAGACTCCAGCGTTAAGACAGCTGAACTGGTCCAAAACTAAAATTTGGTTCTATTTCCTTCAATACTAAAACAATCTTATCAGTGAAGGTTCACTAACCCCTAAGAGACCAAGTTTAAAGCAGAGTCTAAACACACTGCTCAGCTATTAACATAAACCTTAGTTTCTTCATGCAGGTACTTACAAATTTATATGAAATATATATCCTTTAAACAATGTTTTGTTAAAAATTTGTTAAAATAAATATGTTAAAAATACCTTGTGTTAAAAATTTTGCATTTAGAAAAGCTGTGATACAGTAAGAACATTTCAGAGTTCATAAGGTAAAATTCAGGGTGGCAGTTTTTAAATTACTATTTCTACATTTATTTCCTTCAACTCTAAGCTTGCTTCTGAAACTTTGGCTACCTTCAAAGGAAGACAGCAACAACATCTCAATAGCTAGCTCAGCAGGCAGAGACTGGGGGACGGGCGGGGTCGGAGGACATGGTGTGACATCCCCAAAGAGTCAGTAAAGAATTATGTTTTAAAAAAGGTGTCTGATAATAACCCAAGTGAGATGCACTCTTCTAGAAAGCTTGAAGAAAGAGAATGGTACAACTCACAATGAGACAGGAAGGGAACATATTTTTAAAATCTCATTTTCTAGGTGCAAAAGGCCAGAGTTTTACAAGTTAAAAAGAAATACACTGTCCAAACATACATTTAGTGTGGGTCTCATTGTAAGCAAAGGCCATACCATCTCTGGCCGCCACAAAGACAGTTGCTTCAAGTGAACAGAGGCTGGAGCTGGTGGGGAAGTACCAGAGAGCAGGTGGGCAGAAGGAGTGTACCCTCGGGGTTAGAATGGATGGATCGTCTTAGAGAGAAACAGAAGTTTGTCTATTCCATAGTGCTGATTAGCATTCAAAAATACACACACACTAAATATGGTCTGTCTTATTTCTGTTTCAAAAAGGGTTAGCTGAGGAAATGGAGAGGAAAATGATTAGAAAATAAAGAAGTAGAAGGGGAGAAATGTCTGACTCACTCTCCTGCCCTCTCGAAAGAATCAGGCTGGAGAAGACAGAACCTCACCTTCTGCCAGCTGGAGTGCCAGAGCAACAGCAGGACTAGTCCGTTTGTATTGATTTGGGGGTATGACAGAGTACACAGTCATGCGAAGGGATAAGTAAGAGGAAGCAGATCACATTTCAATAGCAAACGCCATTAAATTTACACACAGTTTCTCTAGCCTTTAATGCCAAAGGTGTGGATGGACTTAACATCATTTTCTTGTGAAGGCACAAGAAAACCATCCAGGCTAGTGTGGTGAGCCACATACCAGGCAAAGAATGGATGAAGGCCCAGACATCATCGACCGTCCATATAGAGGGCTCTGTCTGTGCCCCTGGGAGCACGTCACTGTTCTCAGGCATTTTCCTAATTCTCACATCTCGAAGCTCACGTTCTCTTTCCCGCTCACTCTGCCTGCGCAGACGAGTTGTCATAGCAGAGGGCACAGAATCTTCATGAGAAGCCAAGTCTTCTTCTGCAGATGGATAAGTAATTGGAAGCTGGAAAATGCAGTAAAGTAAAATACAGCATTGCACTTTCCTTGAATTTCTGAAAAGGACATTGTACATTGAAGCAAGCTTTCTACAGACCTGCCTAAGGATATGTTCTCTTGCTGTCCCTTCAGGGCCACTGGGACGACGGCCCCGATGCCCAAGACTCTGATTATCAGGCTTACGATTCCAACGACTAAGTGCAAATTTTTTAGAGCAGCTAACGTTGTACCTAAGAAATTCAAGAAAGAAAAATTAAGCAATATATGGGACACTTCATTTAGAATTCAGCTGTAACTTTAAAGTAAAACTGTGACACAGTAAGTACTAGACAATTATTAAGGACTGTAATACCTCACAAAGTACTTCTATCTTACTGAATGGATTTATTTATCCTAGAGGTCAAAATGGCCTCTGTGTATATCATAAAATATCTCTCAACATAATACTGGACACCTTTAACAAGGTAATTGTTAAAGGTAATTGTTTCTCCTGATTATAGAAAAATAATAAGAAACCTGCAAAATGCAGAAGGTAATTTTCCAAGCTGCAAGAAAATCCATGGTTACAGAAGAGATACTTTGTAATACATATTTCCAATGCTTAATTAAACTATTTTACAAGTAATATATTTGAGGTTTTGTTTTGTCTTATTTTAGTGAAAGGAGTATGCAGATATGTATGTGCAGGTGCAGGAACACATACATGTGCAGACACATATACACATGTGAAGACCAGGGTTTGGTTCTCAGCACACAGTGGAGGCTCACAACTGCCTGAACCCCAGTTCTAGGGAGTCCAATGCCCTCTTCTGGCTTCCACATCAGGCACACACACGGTGCACATATATTCTTAGAGGCAAAACACACACACATTACTTTTGTTACTGATAACTATTTTAAAGTAACACATGTCATTTTGCTTACCTATGTTTGATGAAACAGAGATGGAGTAAGTAATACTGTGAGAATTGATAGACTATTAGTCCTCTAAAGCTGCAAATGTACCTGAGAGCCACTGAAATAACTCAGGAAGTTCTGCTGTGTTCATATGGGTTTATCTGTGGGCTCAGCAAAGTGAGGTTTGATTTCTAACTAACATGTCAGGTGACAGAGCTTACACTAAAGAAGGAGAGAAGTGTCTGGTAGTTAGTCCTTGTCTATTTAGCTCTCCAAGCCTGACACTAAGCAGCCATGTCAACAGCAACAGCACTTCCCTGACCTGACCTGACTCGGCTCTCTCCCTTGCTCTTTTGGCCATGCTTCACTGTGCTGGTGTCCCTGAACGAAGGAGGCTCACTGAAGCAGACTCTAAGTGTCCTGATAGACTTCTAAACAGTCAAGAGGTTATTATATTAGAATATCCTGAAAGACAGACTGTTTCCCAAATTGACAAGCGTTTTTAACCAGCATGAGAGAGCTACTGTTCTGTCACATGTTTTATGCAGACTAAAATTCAAGCTAAAACATAAATCCTCCATAATCTTTGGCTGGAGAGATGGCTCAGTGGTTAAGAACACTGGCTGCTCTTCCAAAGATTCTGAGTTCAATTCCCAGCAATCACATGGTGGCTCACAACCATCTGTAATGAGATCTGGTGCCCTCTTCTGGCCTGCAGGCATACACGCAGACGGAACACTATACATAATAAATGAATAAATCTTTAAAAAAAAATCCTCCATAATCTTACTCTAGACCTACCATTAATCATGAATAAACATTTGAGTAATGCACTGAAGTGATACGCTTGCTTCTGAAAGAAACTTACTTCTATTATTCTCACTAAAGTTAGTTCTGTGGCAACTACATGAAACGTTATGTTCAAGCAAGAAATTCACTGGCTTGTTAAAAGAACATAAATTTCAAAATAATCAACCTAAAGCATACCTAGGTGTTCTGAATGAGGACCAGGTTTTCTTAGCTGCTAAGCTATCTCTCCAGTTCCTGTATTAATCTTTACAGACTAGTAGTCTATCTGGGCATGGTAGTATATGGCTATGATCCCAGTAAGTGGGAAGCAGAAACAGGAGGACCACAGAATGCTGGAGACCAGCCTAGCATTCACAGGAAATCCAGGCCAGCCAGAGCTATATAGCAAGATCCTACATAAAAACAAATTAATTTTTAAATTAACTACTAATTAATCTTGAAAGTTAATTAGTTGTGATTTTTAAAACACAAAACTAATATTCTATCATATACTTATCATGCTATAGGAGAGATTCTCCACAGCATGTCCTTGCACCAGATGACTGCTGCTTCATGAGCATATACTATGAAACTGCATATTAGTGCATAATTATCACTTAGCAAATTCTAGTAATGAGACCCAGAGTAAGTGGCTGCCGATGGCACCTAACCTTCCCTGTGTTACCACAGCTAACTCTGACCAAAGCTCAACTGTAACTGAGTCATGACTTTCTGCAAAAGTTCCTGGTTCTCCCTGAGCAAATCCAAGAACGCCAACATACCTTTTGGCACATGACATAGTACAGAACCGTTTTGACCGTAAAAATTCATTAGGATATCCCATTTTTCCACAGAACTCACACTTGAGCAACTCACTATCCATTTCTTCTAATGTCTCTAAAAAAGAAAGGAAAAGGTAAAAAATCTGAGTGTGTCAAAATTTCTTTCAGCCTCTAATTCTAGTTATACAACACTGTCAGACCAGGACTTCACCTTCTTTGGACCCAGAGCCACTCTGGCTGGGCTCCTACTAGTTCCTTGTTTCTCCAGAAAAATGATGTTTTGGTCTTTTTTTTCTATACAACAAATACATTTATACAAAGAAGCATAGGTTAGTTTTGCTAAGAATCCAGCATGTCTAAAATATACAAAAAGCAATATGTGATTTCTAAACACTGAGAAATGAAGGTGAGTACCCACTAAAAGGGATATTTTCAAAAAGCAGAGCATGGGATATGAACTTGGTACACCGTGCTGTGAAGACTCACAGCAAGGAACCCTTTCAGCTCCTAACGCAGAGGAGGATGACTTCAAAATGAGAAGTGTCTGTATGTTTGATTCTAATGGGACATGGAAGATATTTACCTAAGAGATCTGGAGTGTATGACCAATTCTATAAATATATGTATTATCAATTTATAAAACAGTTCCTTTTAATGTTAAATAAAATTAATTCTGCTTTTAAAATCTTAAACAGCCTCATAATGCCTGACTATTGGTGTATTTTCTAGGGTGCTCCCTGCTAAGTAAGAATGCTAGTCTTAACCCCAACCCCAAACCAAACCCAAGTACTCTCCTTCATTCCTATCTCTTGTTTCAGGCACAGCACCTAAGGCAAACAGCTCAATCTTCATGACCTTTCCCAAAGAACTGAAGTAACTAGTACATGGATGCCTGCTCCATTTCACAGTTTCCACATAAGAACTAAGAGTACTGGGGCTGGAGAGATGGCTCAGTGGTTAAGCGCACTGGCTGCTCTTCCAGGGGACTAGGGTTCAACTCCTAAATGGCAGCTCACATCCATCCATAACACCCATTCCAAGGGACCCAAACCTTCTTCTGCCTCTGAAGGCACCAAGCACCAAGCAGTAATACACAGACATACATGCATGCATGCAAAATACCCACACACTTGAAAACAACAAATAAAATACAAAGAACTCAGAGTACTAAAACACATAATAAGTACTCAAAGATCTCCGTGAGACCTAAAACCTACCCTATTATGCCAAGGCACAGTAAATGGAAAAGGAAAAAGGAAGTCCTGTGCTAACTAAACTTAGTTCAGCAGTGAGCACCACGTGTGCTTTGTCTATACTCTTACAAAGTCCGTTAGATGAGGGGGACTGAGTGGACATGGAGGGTGCATGCTCGGGAAAAGGATGAAGACAAAGGTCTACAGTGACATGGCTGGCACATAGCCAGGAAACTCCAGCGTACTGGAGGAGCAGGAGGAGAGCACGCGATCAAGTGACGGAGGAAGAACTACCGAAACACACTGCAGAGGCACAGCCGGCCCTGCAGAGCCCACGCCCACCATCTTTACTAAGGAAATTACAAGCCAACAAGTGGCCTTTGGTGCTTTGTGTTTTGTATGTGTGCAAGGGAATCAAACCTAGGGCCTCTCACACCCCGGGCAAAAATGTTCTACTCTTCAGCACCAGAGTGGCCATTGAAAGGAAACTCTCAAAACTACTTTGGTATGTATGCAAAGGTCACTGATTCAGTCACAGTGTAGATGCAATTATCTCAACGTAAGTAAAGTAAAAATTGGCCCTTTCCTAGGATCCCAGCTGTGGAGCTATCATCAACAGAGAGTTTCTGGAGAAGGAGAGTCATTTTTTTCTCAGGCATGTGGCCCCTAGTAGGATACCCATGCTCCAGGTGAACTCAGGGTTGGGGGTGGGAGACACAAAGTTGAGAGAGAGAAATGATGGGAAAGCTGTCTGGGAAAAGGGGAAGGGGAGAACACAGAGTACATTTAATCAAAACGTATCATATGCATGTCTGGGATTCTCAAAGAATAAATTCAAAATGTACTTTCTAAAAAATAAAAAATAAAAAAATTGCCTCTTCCCAAAACCTAACCTTTATCTGTGTCCTTAGGATTTGATGTTCTAACTCACAGGAATATCATTTTCACCTGAACATCTTGGAAAGCCTGTACCAGAGAGACAGAACTCACTCAACCACTCACTGGTGTAACTACCAAGAGGCCATTCTGCAGGTTGCTCAAAGTTTTGCTTCAGACTGTCTATGAATTTCAGAGATTCGGTCCATTATCATCATGGTGGGACATGGTGGCCTGCAGGCAGAGATGGTGCTGAAAGGTAGCCAAGAGTTCTAAACCTTGCAGAAAACTGGAAGTGGACTGAGACACTGGGCGTGGCTTGAGCATATATGAGACCTCAAAGCCAACCTCCACAGTGACACACTTCCTCCAGCAAGGCCACATCTACTCCAACAAAGTCACACCTTCTACTAGTGCCTCTCGCTATGAGATTATGGGGACCAATTACACTCAAACTACCACATTTCACTCCCTAGCCCCCATAAGCCTGTAACAATATCATAATGCAAAATGCATTTAGTCAATTTCAGAAGTCTCCATAGTCTATCACAATCTCAACAATATTTAAAAGTCCAAAGTTCAAAGTCTCTTCTGAGATTCATGCAATCTAACCGTAATGCCCTATAAAATAAACAAAACACAAAAACAAAAAGCAGATCACATGCTTGCACCATGTAACGGCACAGGATTGTCCCTGTGATAGTTCATTAGATCACCACCAGTAACCACACGACAGAGTCTAAAGTAGGATGTTTCGAGATTTCCTCCGCCTCTGCTAACAGAATTAATGCTCTTCACGTTAGCCTCAGGCAGACTCTTCAGACAAGGGCAAAAGGCAGCCACTTTCTTCACCAAATATCACAAGAACAATCTCTAGGCAACATACTAAAATTCTCCTCTTAAACCTCTTGAGCCAGCCCCTGACAGTTCAAATCATTCTTAGCACCTGTCTTCCAAGCTTCTACTAGAATGGCCCATTGAGCAGTGCTTAAAGCATTCCACAGCTTTCATAACCCAAAGTACTAAAGTCCAAATTCCTCCAAACAAAAATATGATCAGGCCTATCACAGCAATACTCCAGTCCCTGGTACCAACTTCTGCCTTAATTGGAGTTTCTATTGCTATGAAGGACACCATGACCATGGCAAGTCTTATGAAAACATTAAACTGAGGTGATGGCTTATAGTTTTAGAGGTTCAGTCCATTATCATCATGGTGGGACATGGTGGCATGCAGGCAGACATGGTGCTGGAGAGGTAGCTGAGAGTTCTACATCTTGTAGGCAATAAGAAGTGGATTGACACTGGGTGTGGTTTGAGCATATATGAGGCCTCAAAGCCTGCCTCCACAGTGACACCCTTCCTCCAACAAGACCACACCTGCTCCAGCAAAGCCACACCTCCAAATGGTGTCACTCCCTATGAGATTATGGGGACCAATTACATTCAAACATCCACAGTGAGGAATTGTTTTTATTTCCCTACAGACTTGAAATCACAGGATTGGCAGCAAAGAGGAGAAATGATCTAGAAACCATCATCAATGCAGTAACTTACCAGGGAAGATAATATGATATTTTGATAAATCACAAGCTATTATTTGGAAATTCTGATGGCAGAACCAGTCCAAATCCAACCATAGTTGATCCTTGTGCTGATTAGTTTTTGTCAGCTTAAAACAAAATGGAGGGGCTAGGCTACCGGAATCCTTGGAAGCCTGGAAGATCATGAGTAGTCACAGACATCAGACACTGAGCTACTAACACTGTTAGGTTTGGGGTTTGCTTTGATCTGACTGTTACTAGTCCCTAGTTCTCCCCTTTAAGAATAAGAAAGTAGCCAGGTGGTGGTGGCACATGCCTTTAATCCCAGGAATTGGGAGGCAGAGGCAGGTGGATCTCTAAATTCGAAGCAAGCCTGGTCTATAGAGCAAGTTCTAGGGCAGTCAGGACTACACAGAGAAACCCTGTCTTGAAAAACCAAAGGAAAAAAAAAAGAAAGTATATAACTCATTTTAGATTTTATAGGAGCCCTAGCTGAAACTTTTAAAGTGTTGAAAATTTTAAAGACTATGGGACTTTAAAAGTTGGACTATGTTCAGCTGGAGAGATGGCTCAACAGTTAAGAGAACTGGTTTCTCTTCCATAAGTCCTGAGTTTAATTCCCAGCAACAACATGGTGGCTCACAACCATCTGTAATGGATCTAATGCTCTCTTCTGGTGTGCATGAAGACAGAGCACTCATATACATAAAAGTGGGACTATGTTTCATGAGATCTTGGGATGAAAAAGAAAGGAAAGGTTAAAGTTTAAAAGTGCTTGTGTGAGGTTACCAAGGGGTCAACTGTACTTTTTTTTTTTTTTTTTTTTGTCAGCTTGACAGAAACGAGAGTCATTTGAGAAGAAGGAACTTAAATGAGGAATTGCCTCCATTAGTTGGCCTGTGGGCATGTCCGTAGGGCAATTTTTTTAAACAAAAGATTGATGTGGGAGGGCCCAGCTCACTGTGGGCGGTGCCACCCCTGGTTCTGGGTTTTGTAGAAGACAGCAAGCTGAGCAAGCTATGGGAGCCAAGTCAGTAAGCAGTGCTGATTCATGGTCTCTGCTGCAGTGCCTGCCTCAGCCTCCCTTGATGATGGGCTGAAATAATCCTTTCCCTGCCAAGCTGGTTTTGGTCAGGGTTTTATCACAGTAACAGAGAAGCAAACTTGGACGACTCTTTAAAAAGATTTATAAGTACCATGAATTTAACAGTTTGCCTATCTTAAAAATGAGTGTTTTTATACTGAAATTATATATACAAAAACTACAGCCACTAAGTAAATGACCTCACCATTTTACTCTATATTATATTGCATGAACACTGGTGGATACAATAATAAAAATGCTAAAATTATAAAATGGCCCTGGAAAGTTAAAACTATAAAGAACTTAAAAACGTTAGCTTAGCTTTTTTATTTGTTTTGTTTTGTTTTTGTTTTTGTTTTTTGAGACAGAGTTTCTTTGGTACCCTTACTATCCTAGAACTAGCTCTGAAGACCAAGCCGGTCTCAAACTCACAGAGATCCACATGCCTCAGCCTCCCAAGTGCTGGGTTTAAAGGAGTGTGCCACCACCACGGGGCAAAATGTTAACATTACGTAATAGTTGTCTATTATGAAATATATTAGCCATCTTTAGGTTTTCCTCTCCTTTCACAGCATCTTGTCCTGTCTCCCTTTAGTCCTTTCTTTCCTCTTCCCATTAAGACTACAGGTGTCAGTTACATGCCAAACCTCTAACACATTCAACAGAGATGACCAACAAAATGCCAAACCCCTTTCAGCTTATTACAACTGCCAAAAAAACTTGAGTAATGCCCCTCAAGCCCCAGATCTTCATCCATAAACCCCTCAAGTCCTAGGTCTTCATCCATAAACCCCCCAAGTCCTAGGTCTTCATCCATAAACCCCTCAAGTCCTAGGTCTTCATCCATAAACCCCTCAAGTCCTAGGTCTTCATCCATAAACCCCCCAAGTCCTAGGTCTTCATCCATAAACCCCCCAAGTCCTAGGTCTTCATCCATAAACCCCTCAAATCCTAGGTCTTCATCCATAAACCCCTCAAGTCCTAAGTCTTCATCCATAAACCCCTCAAGCCCGAGGTCTTCATCCATAAACCCCCCAAGTCCTAGGTCTTCATCCATAAACCCCTCAAGTCCTAGGTCTTCATCCATAAACCCCTCAAGTCCTAGGTCTTTATCCATAAACCCCTCAAGTCTGAGGTCTTCATCCATAAACCCCTCAAGTCCTAGGTCTTCATCCATAAACCCCTCAAGTCCTAGGTCTTCATCTATAAACCCCTCAAGCCCAAGGTCTTCATCCATAAACCCCCCAAGTCCTAGGTCTTCATCCATAAACCCCTCAAGTCCTAGGTCTTCAGCCACAAACCCCTCAAGTCCTAGGTCTTCATCCATAAACCCCTCAAGTCCTAGGTCTTCATCCATAAACCCCTCAAGTCTGAGGTCTTCATCCATAAACCCCTCAAGTCCTAGGTCTTCATCCAGGGTCCTTCTGGGCCTGACTCCAACTGTCTGTTCAGTGTCCTTTGATTCAATGTGCTCCTACAGTTACTTAGTTGTACACATCCTCTGTGCATCTGTTCCTATCCTAATCAGAACTGTTTTTCCTGACTGTTATCTTAAATCTATGCTTGTCTCCTTGTCTCTTTTAACACAAAATATAGTTCAAACTAATAAACAGAAGAAATTCACGAAGCTGTAATTAACTTCAGCCAGCTCTGTGTTCTTACTCTCTCTATCTAACATTTGCTGCTCTGTAATGGGGATTCTCTAGTTTTCAACTAAACAAAAAGTTCCTTAAGGGAAGGAGGCTGTGTTTTCACTTCTTTCTGTACACACCCGTCATGTGTCAGCACACTAGCAATGTGGATTGTCCATTATATTTTATAAACTACAAATATCATGAAATACGTTACAAAACTTCCCAGATTTCCACATTCCTCCTGTGTGTTCAGCAGGATGACATGATAAACACGTTTTAGCACAAAACCTTCATTTATACACTTCTTACAGATATGAGCAAAAAAAGAAAAAAGAAAACCTAAACATTGGTCTTCACTACTTTTTATCTCAAATAAGAAATGTTCTCACATATAATCAACTAACTAAAAATATGTATTTGAAAATTAAATGAAATTAAATTCTAACAATGAAAGCCACCATGATGACCTTGTTTGGAACCTGATTTTAATCAAATGACTGTGAAAGATCATGCTTCAGATAACTGAGGAAATCTGAATATGAATCAGGTATTACACCAAAGAATTATTAATTCTGTTATTTAATTATGTAAGAAAATATCTGCTTTTAAGAGATACACACTGTATCAGGGGGCTAAAATGACTACAAGTTTCAGAAAGAAAGAAGCAGAAGGAATCAAACTGAACTCAAAATAAGCAAAAGTTAGTCAAAGTCAAATGTTATACTATTACAGGTTTGGTTGTTCGAATAAGAAGTAAAAATGTTGAATACTTCACAAGAGCTTATAAAACACCACCAATGGCAGGTGCCACCCTTTAAGAGTCAGAAGGATGTAGATTTAGCTTACCAACATGCCATTTAGGTAAATTTAACACTGTATAGAGACACACAATAAAGTAACATTAGCTAAATAAATATTGGCAAATTAATTTTAGAGATCCTAAGGATAATTACTAAGACAAAGATGCTAATGAGTTCACCATTGTAAGCCCTGACTAAATATGCCAAACTGAACAACATCCACTGTAGGGTGGTAACCACATGATAGAACAATCTCTCATGAAGACTCTTCTATACAATACAGCTAGGTTGTTTTGTTTTGTTGGTTATTTACTTTAAGGAACACATTCAGAACTTCATTTTAAAAAAGTAGAGCCGGGCGGTGGTGGCGCACGCCTTTAATCCCAGCACTCGGGAGGCAGAGCCAGGTGGATCTCTGTGAGTTCGAGGCCAGCCTGGTCTCCAAAGCGAGTTCCAGGAAAGGCGCAAAGCTACACAGAAAGCTACACAGAGAAACCCTGTCTCGAAAAAACCAAAAAAAAAAAAAAAAAAAAAAAAAAAAGTAGGAGCATTTGCTGACTTTAACTAGGAACTCAAGGCATAGAACATCAGTTCTGCATTTACCTGTGTTTGCTTTTCCTCAGGCATTTTGATCATTTTGACTTCTAAGGGATTTTTCGGTATTAGAATACAGTCAGTTGAAAAGGCAGTCTTTGACAGTAAGGAGATTAACAGTATCTTTCTCTTAGAACAAGTGTTATCTATTGACTAAAGAGAACACCCTGAATGTAACTGCTTCTACCAGCTTCTAACATCCATCACAAAAGGACAAATCTAAAAACCACATACCTAGATGTTCTATATTTTTGAAGTAAATCCAGTAAAATAGTCATTTGTTACTTAGGTTTGTTTTTTAAAAGCAAGAATTGGTTGTTCTGATTCACAAAAAATTTAAATTAATTTTCTCTCATGTATGATAGAACTTGTCCCACCTAGAAATCAAACTAACATTGTACAAATCAGCACCAATGTTAGTGCTCTTTTAGTTATTTAGTTATAAGAGTGGTTAGCTTACCCATTATTCTGGTCAATAGAGTGTTTACATACTCACTGTATGTACAAAACTGAATTCTTTCCAAGTGAAAATCCATGCAGAATAAAAAGCCACACCCTATTTCAAGTGGTAAAAGGCAAAGTTAGAGAAAAGATTTGATGAGATCCACAGACCTTCAGCGATCATGTCTTCCATCTCTGTGTCAGATGAGTTATCTGCATGCTTTGTATTATTCTGTAGCTCTGGCTGAACACACACAGAATTTACCACCTGATTATCCAAAAGAGGCCTCTTTTTCACAGGTTGTTCTATCAGCAAAGATGAACGACTTACCTTCAAATGGAAAAGAGAATGAAACAATCTCTAAAAATTAGCCAGAAATAAATGAGTCTAATTTGTAAAATGACCCTCTGGAAGAATGGTAGCTGTGATATTTACTTACTCAATGATCAGATCCAGTCATTAAGGGTAAATCAAGTAAAAGGTTCTATACATATGCACTTACTGCTAGCTAGCAGCAGAATACATACTGCAGTGTCTGTCAAATACAATGCACTGCTGCTTCAGGCAAGTACCTAAAAAAGTCTTCAAATCTAGTGCTTCCTTATATTTATAATACTAAAACAGAAGCAAGCAGGTTATCCTGCACCACAGGAAAGCATTCAAAGAGAAGTGGTTGCTGCTTGAAGTGATTTATTTTACAGTTCTGGGGATTGAATCCAAGGTCTTGCACTGAGCTATAGTTTTTTGGGTTTTTTGTTTTTGTTTTGTTTGTTTGTTTGTTTGTTTTCGAGACAGGGTTTCTCTGTGTAGCTTTGCGCCTTTCCTGGAACTCACTTTGGAGACCAGGCTGGCCTCGAACTCACAGAGATCCGCCTGGCTCTGCCTCCCGAGTGCTGGGATTAAAGGCGTGCGCCACCACCGCCCGGCAGCTATAGTTTTCTTTAGCATGTCTTTAAGATGCCTCTCCCTATGTAGTTCCTCTTGCCTCAGCCTCTGTCTTGTCCTATGCAATGTCCATGTCCAGCCTCACTTTTCACGGTACTATTCAGTTCAGCAACTCTTTTTCCTAGAGCCTTGAACACACAAGACTAGCTCTCTAATACAAGGCTGTATATATCTGCAGATATTTTATCATTCAGTGGTAAAGATCAGATAAGAGTCATGGGTGTGTTCACCCTTGGACAGCGGATACTTTACCATCTGAGCCTTCTCCACAGCTCACATGTCCCAAGAATGAATGTGTGTGTGTGTGTGTGGGGGGGGGGGGGGGGCATGTGAAGGGGAAAGGATGTACCATAGCACATATGTGGACAGCAGAAAACAACTTTATGGAGTTAAGTATGCTCTTTCTACCTCTATGTGGGTCTCAGGGGTCAAGCTCAGATTCCCAAGTTAGCATGGCTTTTACCTGCTGCACCATCTTGCTGGTGGCTTTTAAAAATATAGAAACACCAAATAGACTGGACCAGAAAACAAATTCCCTTTGGCACATAATAATCAAAAACTAAATATGCAAAAAAGAGAAAGTATTAAAAGCTGCAAGGAGCCGGGCGGTGGTGGCGCACGCCTTTAATCCCAGCACTCGGGAGGCAGAGCCAGGCGGATCTCTGTGAGTTCGAGGTCAGCCTGGTCTACAGAGTGAGTTCCAGGAGAGGCGCAAAGCTACACAGAGAAACCCTGTCTCGAAAAACCAAAAAAAAAAAAAAGCTGCAAGGAAAAAGACCAAGTAACATGAAGGTAAACCTATCAGAAAAAAAACAACTGGCTTCTCAATGGAGACTCGTAAAGCCAAAAGGGCCTGGACAGATGTTCTAGTGACTCTAAGAAGACTATGGATGCCAGCCCAGACTACTATATCCAGCAAAACTTTCAATCTCCATAGATGGAGAAAATAAGACATTCTATGATAAAACCAAATTTAAGCCAAATCAAGGAGATACAAATTAGAAAGGAAGAAGTCAAAGTATCTTTATTTTCAGATAATATGATAGCATACATGAGTGACCCTAAAAATTCCACCAACGAACTCCTACAGTTGATAAACACTTTCAGTAAAGAAGCTAGATACAAAATTAAGTCATAAAAATCAGTAGCCCTCCTCTAAACAACTGACAAATGGACTGAGAAAGAAATCCAGGAAACAACACCCTCCACAATAGCCACAAACAATATAAAATATCTTGGGGTAACACTCTAACCAAACAAGTGAAAGACTTGTGTGACAAAAATTTCAAGTCTTTGAAAAAAAGAAACTGAAGAAGATATCAGAAGATGGAAAGATCTCCCATGCTCATGAATCAGTAAGATTAAGATAGTAAAAATGGCTATTTTACCAAAAGTAATCTGCAGATTCAATGCAATCTCATTCAAAATTCCAACATAATTCTTCACAGATCTTGAAAGGAAAATTTCAGCTTCATGTGGAAACACAAAAAAGCAAGATAGTTAAAACAATCCTGAAGATAAAAGAACTGCTGGAGATATCACCATTCCCGACCTCAAACTGTACTATCCGTAATGAAAACAACATATTATTGGCATAAAAACAGAACAGGTCCAGCAATGGAAACAAACTGAAGGCCCAGAGAAACCCACACACCTATGACCATCTGATTTCTTCTTAAGAAGCCAAAAATACACACTGGAAAAAAGACAGCATCTTCAACAAATGGTGCAGGTCAAACTGGATGACTGCATGTAAAAGAATCCGAATAGATCCATACTTATCATCCTGCATAAAACTCAAGTCCAAATGGACCCGATCTCAACATAAAGTCACATACACTGAATCTCACAGAGAAAGTGGGAACAGCCCTGAATTCACTGGCAAAGATGACATTCTAAACAGAACACTGTTAGCACAGGAACTAAGAACAACAATTAATAAATGGGACCTCATGAAACTGAGAAGATTCTGCACAGCAAAGGACACCGTCAATACAACAGAGCAGCAGCCTCCAGAATGGGAAAAGATTTTTACCAACTACTCATCCAATAGAGGACTACTATCCAAAATATATAAAGAATTCAAAAAACTAAACATCAAGAAAACAAATAACTCAATTTAAAAAATGGGTAAAGATCTACAATGCTTAGCTCAGTCATCATCAGAGAGGCTTCCTTCTGCAGCAATGAGAATAAATATAGAGACCCACAGCCCGACATTATGCAGAGAAGAGAGGAAGCTTGGAACACTCAACCCTAAATGGGATGTCTCCATCAAATTCCTCCTCTCAGAGTTCAGAGAGCCCTGTGGAAGAGGCGGCAGAAAGATTGTAAGCCAGAGGGGATGGAGAACAGGACACTGAGAAAGCAAGGTCCTCTAAACCTTCTAAACAGGATCAATGCACACACAAACTCACAGACTGTGGCAGCATACACGGGGCCTGCACAGGTCTGCACCAAATGGGGTCCTAGAGCTGAAAGGAGAAGGGGACACATGTCCTCATCCCTAACCCAGAAGCGAACTCCAACTGATAACCACTTGCAAATAAAAATTTAGTTTCCTCCAAGGGAGTCTCAATGCAGAAACAAACTACTCTTTAGTCTTGATGTAGGTTGTAGGCCAACAGAAAACAAATTCAACAGCATTATTGGAAGTCCCTTGTCTTATAGTGTCTTATCAGGGCTTTTTTTTAAATTATCTTTTTATTTTTATTTATTTATGTATATTTTTTTTCTGTTTCTTTTTACCCTACAAATCCTTTGCACATATATTAATTAATGGCTTCCAGATTAGTGTTTTTATGGGATTCTTGAGTGTGCAAACAAATGGATCTCTGTGTCAAATCTGTTTTATGTGCCTTTTCTTGGGCTCTTTTCCTTGTTTTTGTTGTTGTTGTTGTTCGTTTGTTTTGTCCTCTTCTGGTGTATTAGTTTTTATCTTTTCCAATTATATTTTATTTTATTATTATCCTTTAGAAGCCTGTTTGTTTTCTAATTAGAGACAGAAAGGGGACAGATCCAGCTGGGACAGGAGTTGGGGAGGAACAGAGGAGTAAAGGGAGGGGAAACCATAATTAGGAGTATTATGTGAGAATAAAGGCTACTGTTTTGTTTTTTGAGACAGGGTTTCTCCGTGTGGCCCTGGCTATCCAGGAACTTGCTCTGTAGACCAGGCTGGCCTTGAACTCACAGAGATCTGCCTGCCTCTGCCTCCCGAGTGCTGAGATTAAAAGAGTTCACCACTACCACCTCCTGGCAAAAGCTACTTTAAATAAAAAGAAAAAAAAATCTGACTAAGCATTTTTTCAAGTTCTTCCTTCAAAAGCTTTACTTTTTCCATATAAATGCAACACACACACAAAGATGAACATTTTAAATGCTAGAGATGAAATCCATAGCCACATACATGCTAGGCAAGACAGTACCAAAGACCTATACCCTGAGTCCATACTTTATATATTTTACAGAGAAGGATGCTAATGTTCAAAGAGTTTAGATTACTTCTTTACAAAGCAATATCAAGACTAGTACCAAGTCTTTCGACTCCTTCAGCAACCTAACCACTGTAATTATAGAACAAACAGAAACTCAACACCACAAGGTTAACATCAACAACAAAACAGTCATTGTGTTCAGTATCATGAATATTTAATTTTAGAAATATTTTCAGGAAAAATTTAAACCAAGAATATGTACTGATTATTTAAGCAAGCCCTCAGCTAATCTGGAAAGAATACTGGTTATGGAATGGTAGGGAACTACAGCTTATTAGAAATTTCTACAAGGACTGGAGAGATGGCTCAACAGAGGACCCTAGTTTGATTCCCAGCACCCATATGATGGCTCACAGCCACCTGTAACTTCAATTTCAAGCATCCAACACCCTCTTCTGCCATCTGAGGACCATAGGCACACATGGGTGCACAGCCACACACGCAGACAAAACTCTCATATCCACAAAATAAAAAAAAAAAATTATTAAGAGTAGAATCAAAATTTTAAATTAAAACATTTGTATTCATTTCAGTAACTGAATATGCCTCAAGCAAAATTTATAAAAGTAATTCTATTATGTAATGCTGCTAATGGCCTATACTTCTAGTAGATGAGGAAACAATCTTTCCATAAAATAATGTATCAAAATACTACTACTTCTAGGAATGTATGCTAAGAAAACTATTTAAAATCTGGACAACTTACATACAAAAGTATAATATCTTTCTCCCCCACCTCTGTGTGTGTGGTGGGGTGCTGAAGATCTGAGCAAGCACCTCAAACATGCTAAAAATACAACCTACCACTAAGCTGTATCTTAGACTATTTAAACAGTGATAAAATGAAAACAATGTTTGAGAGGATTTTATATATTATGGTTGTCCATAAAGTAAAATATTATGTCACCTTTCAAAATGTACAAAAATGTTATTAATGATATAGAAACAAATGCTTGTTTATGAAGTATAAAAAATAAAGAATTGTATATACAATAATAATCTTGATTATATGACTATACATGCACTGTGAAATTAGTATTTGTTCTATATAGTTCAAGTTTTAAAGCACATATTACTTTTATAACATGAAAAGGTAAAGCTGTAATTGTCACTACAATAGCAATAATAAATAACAGCTATGGCTAGTAAATGCCAGGTATAGCAAAGAACAGTGCTAGCATATTTAATTCTCACACATCCAACGAGCATCTCCATCAGGCAGATAAGCAAAATTAAGATTGGAAATGGCTAGTTCAAAATGTCTCAGAACCTATACAGGAAAATACATAAAAGATTAGACAGTTAAAATTCTATATTAAAAAAATCAACCTTTAAAATAAGATGATAAGTCTTTCCTTAGAGAACAACAGTAGACAACTTTTAAGATAGTGTTATACGGCTACAAATAGTTTCTAAAACACAAAAAGCTTTCTACTTACAGGAAAGGGCTCCAATCCCTCCTGAATCACGAAACCTTCGATTACGTGGGTCAAGATCTGTGGCTTCACAATAGCTTGCGGAGGCTTGTTTTCCAGGTGGGGGGTGCCGCTGGCCATAGCCGTGATAGTGCTCCTTGTGGCAGCAGCTGGCATTAAGAGTGGCGGTGGAGGAACAGAGCCGTGAGCAGGGTCAGATGGAGACTTAATCACTGAGGCACTGACTGAGGCCACAGCGGGCAACTCCACTTGCTCTGAAAGAGAAGGGAATGAAGGGAATGGACCTTTAGCGTCTGCCCTGCAAAGATGGAAGCCCACTCAGATGTGCTGTTTTCAGGAACAGTATGCTTACAGTCTCATTGAATCTGCACAATACCCACATAAGGAAGAAGCTAATATCCCCACTCTATAGACATACACTAACATGCTCAAAGTTATCATCTAAAACATTAAAATGCCCTAAATATCATTTTCAAGAGTAATTACAAAAATGGTCAGTTGAGTTTGTCTGCTTTTAAGCTAAATAGATAATAAATACCTTACATTCCTCTCTATTCCACATGATACAGATGGACAGATATTCATTTTGAAAACGTAAAAGGATCACACACCCCACAAAGTAGGAATTGCAGTGATTTAGGCAGGTGATAGACTGTAACTTCAAAGCAGGAAGATCCTCCAAATCCTCTCAAAGGCACTTTGCTTTCTTTCAACTAGTGTAGCTGTGTGTCTTGACTGGGGAAATGCTGGAGCACTTGGCAGGCCCACAGGAGGGTCAGCTGACTATCTGATGGGTGGAAAAGCTACTGCCCACCAGCAGCACCAGCCCTTGACTATCAGTACTACAGCAGAGGAGAAGCAGCTTATATCTAGACATACTAATGAGAACAGATTTCTGAAGAAAACAGAAGGCATGTATGCAAAGACACTGAGCACGCAGGTGGCCCATGTCGTGTTCAATGCTTTCATGTTGGACTTCATCTCATCTACAAGTAGCCTATGGGTGGTCAATGTTATCATCTCCATCTTACAAACACAGAAAGACTAACTTACGTGCCTTCACGGCACACCACAAACAGACAATGAAACTGGGGCATGTCCCAGACAGTATGATACTAGAGCACATGGAAACTCTTCTCCACAATCGTATAAAAAGGACTGACACCAGCCCAGTAGTGGTGGCTCATGCCTTTAATCCCAAGAGGCAGAGGCAGGAGGATCTCTGTGAGTTCAAAGCCAGACAAAGTTCCAGGACAGCTAGGGCTACACAGAGAAATGTTATCTAAAAAAAAAAAGATTGACACCACCAGTTAACAATGCTAAAAATATAGCTACCTTAGGTAGGAGAGAAGAAAGAATAGGCTCCCTAAAGAACAGAAAGCCCAACTGATAAAGTAGTGTAGTAGGGACTGGGGTTATAGATCAGTGGAAATGCATGAGTAGCAAGCACAAAGATTAAACCCCCGGGATCATAAAATACATATTAAAATTCAAAATAAAGAAATGGAAACACAAAAAACTCACCCTTAGTAAGACCAATGTAATTAATGTCCTGTAGAGTTCACCAACACTATTATAGCGATAATAAAGTAACCTATCTTCACAAAGATAAAATATTGAAACACCTGTTTAATGCCACATAACTGACCAGGTAGGGTCGTGCATGCCTTTAATCCCAGCACTTAAGAAACAGAGGCAGGCAAGATCTCTAAGAGTTCCAGGCCTGTGAGGGCAACAGAGTGAGATCGTGTATCAAAAACAAACAAACCCCTATGCACAAAATAAACCCAAAGCTACAGAATCTATTTCACTGGGAAAGGAGGGAGAGGAAGATAAAGAGGGGGAGGAGGGTGGGAGGAAAAGGCAAGAAAAGAAAAGCATCCACAGAATGGTAACTTGCTAATGTCTCTGAATAGAAGCACAACTGTCCACATGTATTATCAAGCAGGAACACTACAGTACCCCTACCCATGTGTCAAATCACATATACTTTTATGGGACAAAAGACAAAAAGCAAAAACTATGAGGTATGGCTGAAAGTCATGTTTCTATATATATATATAAAAAAATCTATGAGGAACTAAAATAAAATCAAATTCAATAGCCCTTATAGATTTAAAGACACTGTCTTACTCAGTAAATATAAAACTACATGCTATGGTTTAAATGGACATTCCAAAATTCCTGTGTTAGAAACTTAATCCTCAATGAAGTGTTGAGACGTAGAACTTTAGGGAAGGTGAGTAAGACTCATTTCCATCATGGAGGAACTCTGTAGGGTGCTTCCACAGTGTAATAGCTCAGCAGGAAGTTCCTTACCGGGTACAGACATTCATTGTACAGTACCCACACTCCAGAAACACCAGCCAATTCTATTCTCTTTAGTCTAAAGTCCTAAGTCTATGGTCGATTTACTTTTTCTGAGATGGTACCTGTTAGGTAGCCTAGGCTGGTTTCAAACTCCACCTCTTCCTTCCTCAGTCTCCTGAGTGATGATGCTACAGGCACATTCCACCATAACCAGCCCAAGTCCACAAAATGGACTAAGATATGGCATTACGTATAGTTTTTCTAGGAAATACTGATCAGTGATAATCTGAATTAATCTTTAGATCATGTATATAATAAAGTCCTCTCAAGTTGTGTTAAAAACTATCTACAAGTTACTGTCTTTTTAAAAGATTAATATCTATTATTTGCCAATTTTTAAGAAGCTGTTAAAAAAGCAAAAGCATGAACAACACTGGCAATTTACACCCAGAAACACTATTACTGTGTTGTCCTCGGCAGTTCTCGGGGTCTGGAACAGGCTACTGTGTGTACTATTCACAGGTAAACACTGGGCATGAATTTGTCCTATCTTGTTTACATGGAAACTTCTAAAGATGTTTACAGATTTATGAAAGTTGAGTCATGGATAGGAACAAGTCTACTTTTTAGGATTTATTGATATTTATATGTATATATAAATTTGCAAATATTTATTTATATTTATATGTGAGTGTGTGCCAAGTATGTGCAGTGCCTGTGGAAGTCAGAGAGGGTATCAGACCCCTGAAACTGGAGTTACAAGCAATTGTGTCGCCGCCATGTCCATTCTGGGACCCAAACTCCAAGCCTCTGCAACAGCAGTGAGGGTTCTTAAGCCCTGAACCATCTCTCTAACCCCAAATAAGTCTGTTTTTGTAAGTTAGTTAGTGCCATCGTTTGACAAGTTATTCTAAATATCACCTTCTTCCTTTCCCCCTTCCACATACCACAGAGGAACGAAGTAAATTACAGCAAGACTGAAGTGTCTGCACCGGAGCTGGCAACATCCAGAAAGACAGGTTGGAAGGGTCTCAGACAGTCCACAAGGGAAAGATCATGAAGACAAACCTGTGTCCCAACACTTCCCATCTGGTGTTAGCAGCAAGAGCACACTTAATTTGTAATGAAAGCAGAACCACAATCAAGTTTATTATTCAAGTACGCTGATTGTCTACTTCTGAATCAAAACTTCGGGACATCTGCAGCAACAAATGCTTTCAGAGTAAATAAACTATACATACTGGCTGAAAATGTAGGTTAGTAGTAGAGCTAGCTAGTATGCCTAAAAACCCTGGTTTTTATCCTCAGCACCACCAAAAAGTAAAAAGTAAGTAAGGAAAAAAAAAATGCAGAAACAGTCAAGTTTCATGGTGTGCACCTTTAATCCTAGCACTCTGGAGGCATGAGGCAGGTGGGAGCTCTGTGAGTTCAAGGCTAGCCTTGGCTACATATAGAGTCCTAGGCCAGCCAAGACTACATAAAGAAACCCTGTCTTCAAAAACAACAGAAAACAGAAATACCTGACACTGCTGATAGGTCTCCCTGTGGAGCGCAGGCTGGCTTCAGACAACCGGTTTGCCTGGAACTCATGATCCTCCCACCTCAGCCTCCTCAGTACTAAGATTACAAGCACATACGTACCCCACACCTGGTATCATCCTTAGGACTTTTAAAAAAAGTATCACTGTGTAGCCATAACAGGCCTAGAACACGCAGAGATGCTGGCCTCTGCCTCATGACCGATGGGATTGGAGGCCTGCACTCCCATGCCCAGCGTACGTTCTATTTTCAAGAGAGAAAAGAGAAGAAAGCTGATTTCCTCCTCTCTCGCTCCTGGACAGTCACTTAAGGAATAGCTTCGGAGAGGATCTAAATGGATGCGGCGTGGTCAGGGAGGAAAAAAGTGCTGCTTTGATCAGACCCTCAGGCCCCGCTGCAGTTGGCCTCCATGCCTATGACAGTGCACATCCTTAACTGAAAACAATCAGGAGGGCCAGGAAATCATCAAAACAACACAAGAGTTCCAGCTAAGCCTGAGCCAATATTGAAATCACTTAGATCAGAACTTAAGTACCATGTATGTTAAAGAAACCTTTAAAGCACTTAGTCAGAATATAACTTCAGAGTGCTTTTAATTTTGAAAAGTGTAGTGTGTGTGCGTGAGCGTGCGCGCACATGTACACACACACACACACACACACACACACACACACACACACACACACGCATCTCCTAGCGCACATGTGGAGGTCAGAGGATAACTGTTAAGGAGCTGGCTTTCACTGTCTACCTTGTTTGAGGGAGTATTTCCCTTGTCTCTGCAGCTGCCTAGTCGAGGCCACCTAGAGCACAAGCCTCCAGGCAATTCTCCGGTCTCCACCTCCCATCTCACCATAGGAATGCTATGACTACAGATGTGACCTATGGCAATCAGCTCACTGTATGACTACAAGAACCTGAACTCAGGTCACCAGGCTTGCATGACAAGCACTTTTACCCAATGGGCCATTCCTCATTTTTGGAGGGGGTGGTGTAAGACCTCATGTAGCATAGGCTGGCTCAAATGCAGCCCAGATAACCCTCCTTCCTTCACCTTCAAGATGCTGAGATTCTGGGCACTTGCCACCATGCCTGGGCTCATATGGTGCTGGGGATTGAACCCAGGGCTTAGTTTGTGCATGCTACACAAGGGCTCTATCAGCTGAGCTACACACCTAGCCCCTAATGTAATCTTCTGATAGTTTGGTTAATTCTAAGTGTGTGTGTGTGTGTGTGTGTGTGCGTGTGTGCGTGCAAGCACAGACATGAAAGCATGTGTGAAGGTCAGAGAACCACCTTGGCTGTTGATTTTTAGACAGGGTCTCTTTTGTTGTTTGCCGACACATACGCCAGGCTAGCTGGCCCCAGGTTTCTGGACATTCCCTGGTCTCCAGCTCTCATCTAACTGTAGGAACACTGGGATTACAGGTGGACACCACTGTGCCTAGCTTTATGTGGACTCTGGGGGTTTGAACTCACGTCTCCACATTTGAGCAGCAAGTGCTTTACCCACTAAGCCATCTCCCCAGCCCCCTAGATAGAACTTTACAGACAGAAATAGCTAACACAGGAGTGTGAATAGGCACATGATTATTAAATCACAATGCTTGAAACATCATGTTTTCATTTGGGTGGTGCTAAACATTTTATAATCCAATAACTTTCCATTGCTATTTAAGAATTCCCCAAGAAAACAAGTAAATTTTATTTATTCTTTAATAAAACAATACTCTTCATGCATTTTTTAAATTTTAAAAATAATCTCTCTTTTGCTACAGTTAACAGTAATGTTAAGTTTAATGCCATCCCTAATGAAAAGACAATTTCCTATTACTGACATCTATGAAGAAGAATCTTCTCCTGTATTGTGTGTTTCCTCACCTAACAGAGGCTGTTCAGAGGTCAAATCCTCTCCTCGCCCCACAGTCACAGCTGCTGGAGACAGAGTCGGGGGTGGTGGTGTTCTGTCCATTCTGGCACATTCATCTGACTCCTCTGGCATTTCCTCCTCGCACACATCTTCTACTTGATAAACCTGCAATGACAAATCATACTGCCTTGAAATAGTTCCAAAAATACATTTAATGTGGTATTCTGAATTTAAAAAATTCATTCTAAATGTATTCAATTTAAAAGCAAGGCAAATGAGTATAATGACAAGCTGAAGGGGAAACTTGGAAACCGCTCAGCAGTGCACACTGAAAGCATGCTGTGGGCCAGTACATAACCAGGAGTCACAGGGCTTCCAAATGATAATGACCATATCTGAACACTTTTCAAGAATAAAAAAAAAAAAAAAAAGGTCTTGGCTTTACACAATCAAATAACTATTTTAAAAACACCATTGCTTCTGTTAATTTCTACCTATCATGACTCAGAATAGGTGCCAGTAAATTTTACAGACACTTAAGTAAACTTCCAAAATAATGTGTGTTAGGCCAATATAACACCAAAGAAGTTATATGCAAGATTACTCACTGTTATTGAAGACTAAATTATAAAAGTTATTGTATATGAAACTGCAGAAAAGTCAGCAATCACATTCTCATTCCCTTTCTGTTCTACTCAAAAATCAAATGAATTCTTATGAGCTAGTATGATTTATACAGAAAACATTTTTCTCTAAAACCAAATGCACAGCCTAAGCTACGTGGCTCTATCACTGGTTCCCATGGGGAAGGTTTAGTCCCTTTAATCCAACAGTGAAGGTTTACTGAAAGATTGTGACATCAAATTCACAGGAGAAACCATGTATCTAGAGCTAAATTACTCAACTAACATTTTATTGAGCATAAGGATCTAGAAATTAATAGATGTACTTTAATTGGTTGCTACTTATGAAAGATGGCCCTCTACTAACAAAGCTACAAGACAACTCATTTCCTTTCATGTAGCAAAGCTTTCACTTAAATTTACAAAGATTGAGAGTTTTTTTAAGATTACTTAACTAATTAAAATTGAAATAAATCTTAACAGTAAAAAAACCCTTTGTGAATATTCACAAAGTTAACTTTAAATGATATCCATTATTACATTTATAGTTAAATTGTTGAAAAAAATGATAATTTGAGGTGTCTAGAATATGAAAATAATCAAGGTTTTTGAATCTAGCATAAACCATGTAAAGTACTATAAAGTTTCATTTATAGTGATATGCATAACATAAGTAGCACTGGTTTAAAAACCAGAACAAAAACTCTAAGCATTACTTAGAATAAACACTACCCAGGAGTGGTGGCACAAGCCTGTAACCCTGCATTTGCAAAGCTGAAACACAACACTGAGTTCAAGGCCAGCCTAGGTGCCTAACAAGAGCCCATCCAAATAGCAAAAAATTATTAAACAGGAGTTTTGCTTAAGAAGTAAATTTTCTGAGGGTGGTAGTGGTACACATATTTAATTCCAGCACTCAGGAGGCAGAGGCAGGCAAATCTGAGTTGAAGGCCAGCCTGGTCTACAGAGTGAGTTCAGGACAGCCAGGGCTACACAGAGAAACCCTGTCTCAAAAAATAAAAACAAAACAAATCTAAGATCCCATTAGAGTTATTTTATATTTAACATGATATCTTGAACTATGACCCAAGTCAGGTACTAAGTAGGCAATATTTTTTAAAGATATTTTTTCTTAGCCCAGAAACTAGAAAACGGTTTCACCAAGAGCCTCACGTCACAAGTGGAAGCAAGTCATTGTTAGGTATGCTACACAGCTGACAGCCACTAGTCTGTTCATGGTAACAGCAAAGTTTAACATGAGGATAATACTCAGCACAGAATACATCACTGCCCCAAATGCCTAGAGATTAACAAGAGACAACAACCAAAATTAAAACAAAATAAAGCTGCCTGGCACCTAAACCTAGAAGATGCAGTGGGAGCTCAGGGGAGTTGCAGGAGAGCTGGCTGAAGGCAGCCGTGCAAGCCCGGCTTCTTAATCAGCTCAATTTCATCCACCACTCTCCCTCACAGACTGCTCCTTCCCTCCGAAGAACACCATCTGCTTAGCTGCTAACCCCCTTCCATCCTGGCCGCTGCCACCTGCTGCTGCAGCATCTGCTTACAGTATCTTTTAAGGAATCAGAGCTCCACCATGCATGGAATTCTGATTTTTTTTTTTTTTTTTTTGTTTTTCGAGACAGGGTTTCTCTGTGTAGCTTTGCGCCTTTCCTGGAACTCACTTGGTAGCCCAGGCTGGCCTCGAACTCACAAAGATCCGCCTGGCTCTGCCTCCCGAGTGCTGGGATTAAAGGCGTGCGCCACCACCGCCCGGCGGAATTCTGATTTTTGATAAGTATTTTTTAAAAGGGAAAAGGCTATAACACAAATAGCATTTTTTTCAAATTATCCATCAAAGAACACTATAAAATACTTTTCTTTCTTATGATGAGGTTAAATACAGAGAGCTCTTCATAATCTCTCACATAAAAGAAAACAAGTTAACAGATGAATAAAGGAGGCAAAAGAAATTTGTCACCTCTCTGGCACAACCAGCAACACCTGAAACACTGGGAAAGCAGTGACTGGAGGTTCTGCTCACAAGATCCCCACAGCACTGCACAAGTTCCATTTAGCTCACAACTATAACTATTCTAAAAATAACCAAGACCACCAAACTTACCGCAGTAAAGCCCACATTCCCATCTGTCTCCCTTTCCTAAATAAACTGAGGAACATTTGTTTATTAGTTCTAAATCATCTATCCTCAACATACCTTATTTATACCCAAATCTCAATTAAAAAAAAAAAACTATTTCTTTTATAGAAATATCTTTTTGAAAAACATACTGATTTAGTTTGGTAATTCACCTTTTTCTTTCAAATTTTTACATCTTATTAGAAAGAAACATACCTACATTTAAGTACTTGAAATAATCAAAAGTGGAAAAGATGTTTTTATGGAAAAAAAAATCTGGTCACAACAACAAACAGCACCTTAATAAAGAGCTGCTGTGCAAGAATGGGAAGGACGCTGGTATTCAGACAGCAGGCCCTGTCAGACAGCTGTCACACGGGAACGGGGCTTCCGGAAACGACCACGTGTTTAGAACCCATGTGTGAAAGACGTGTTTAAAACCAGAGGGCAAAATCAGAAAAATAGAGCCAATAATATTTTTGACACAGCATTTAAAGTGTTTTATTTTTGGCATTTCTACCCTAATTATGTTGACTCAAAGTCCTCTTATTAAAAAATACATTTAAAAGATATATGGAATATAGAAATTTTATTGTTTATTCATTGAAAACCAACCACTGAATTAAATGTTAAGAAAATGAAATTCAATTCAATTTGATTCCTTTGAGGATACTGTTGATTTTTTCTTAAACCTTTGTTTTTCATCTTTTTGTTCTGATTGCCCCAGGGCCTGGTACATGCTGAACAGGTACTCTACCACTGAACTGTCTCCTCAATGCAAAACCTGTTGTGAGTGCTCTGACAATCCATGAAAAGCAAAACAGAGGCATAATTAGAGAACAAGCTTATCTAACACCGGCCTCTCCTGCCTTCTGGCTTTTCAGGGCAGTAACGGGTAAAACCATAAAAACAGCTCCGTGCCTTTAAGATTACTTAGAAGGACAAGAACAACAAACTAGAAAATCGAGTGGAAAGAGTCAAGTGTTCCCCTACTAAAGAGAGCAAACTCCTTTCCTCTCTGAGATCCATGTTATTTAATATCTAAATATTTCAATTTAGAAACATTCTGTGGGGACGGTGTAGCCAAGGCTGCTCTTGAACTCACTGGACAGTCCAGGGTGGCCAAACTCATGACCCTCCTGCCCCAGCTTCCCAAGAACTGGTCTGACTTTCAGAGATTTTCCAAGTTTGACACAAAACTTTCTTTTAGAAAAATCCTTTTCCTCGGTAAGAAACTGAATCTGGTCATTCTGATTAAACTCATAAAGACTTTATTTCAACTTTCATAAACCATTTTATAAATTTTAATAATTCCTTCAGAGAAAATTTTGAAAAAGAAAAATATTTTCAAGATAATTTTTGTTTTTAGGCTTCATGTGACCCTTTCTAGAGGTTCATTCTGATATACTGCACTGAAATCCCAAGTACTGAAAATTCTTACTTCATGTAGTGCATTTCTGTTACTCTCGGTGTCAAAGCCAGAGACTCAGGGTTTTGAGCCTTTTAACTGAGAAATAACTTAAGTATATATTTCCTCTTAGTAGATACAATTTTAAAAAGTAGTTTGTTTTTTTCAAAGTTGAATTCTACCCTGAAATAAATGTTTTTACAATTTTGATTACAAAACAGAACTTCATCAAAAAAGTTTCATCATAAAATCATACCTCTTCCTTGAAAGACAAGCTGCTCAAGGCCCAGGACTTCCAAATGCACACAACTAAAAGGTTAGCTAGAGAAACCATGCGCTTAAGAACATACAGAAGGGATCTATGAAGGATAATCACCTTAAGAGAAAAAACTTTGTGCAGATGACACTGGTTCAAATGCATTCCCTTGGGGAAAAAAAATCAACTCTGTAAAGATAGCAGATGGATTTGTTTAAATAGTAATAAAATTAACGAGGGACTTTAATAACCATCACAAATGTAAAGCATGCAACCATACTACAACAAACGACATTTTTTCCTTTGCCCATACAATACATTGTCCGAATACTAACACAGGAAAAATGCAAGCTTAAAAATCATAGGCATTTAGACTCAACAGTGCAGCACAGTGTGGGAGAACCAGGTTTACGTTCAGTTCAGCAAGAAAGTCAAAGAGCTGCCAAGGGCTTACCACTGGAGGATCAACGGGTGCTGGCGGCTGTACTTGGAGATTTACCGCAACAGTCTGGGGAGGAGGAAGAGTCTGAAATGGCAACTGGACCAGAGCTTCTGCAGCAGGTAGCTCTTCTTCTGACACCAAAGCATTCTGCACCAAAACCTGGCCCTGGGATAGAATTTCAGGCTGCACTTGTAAAGACTGCATAGACTGCAAGGGCAGTGGTGGGATCTGAGCTGGAGGAGATGTCGACATCTGTGGAGGGGTTGCGATTGGAATTGGAGATGACTGCAGGGTTGAATACTGCTGGTGTGATGTTGGAGACACAATCTGCTGAGCAGGGGACACTAAGGCAGACTGCTGGACTGGGCCAATGTGGACAACAGGGGATGCTGGAAGTGGAAGATGGGATGGAAGATTCAGCTGTGCTGTGGGTTGTACCTGATCAGCAGCAGCCTGCTGCAAATTTGGCCCTGTCTGAAGAGCTGAAGACACAAGAGGATGTGGCTGGATAAGTGCTTGTGGATGGATAATTATAGTAGGAGACTGACTTGGGGAATGAGGTGGAGGAGGAGACACCACTACAGACTGCTGTGCAGATTGTGCCTGATTAGGAGACACAGTTAAAGGAGGGGGATGGCTCTGAATTGGTGAGCAATGCTGTGACTGGGCATTACTGGGAGCCGGAGAAAGGCCATGGTTTGGAAGTGGGATACAGTGCTGGGATGGGGGCGGATCTTGAGTTGGACTCTGAAGGGTGATTGGCTGAATTTGCTGTTGTTGCTGTTGTAAAATCAGCTGATGATGGGAAACCTTAGGAGGTGGTGAATGAAGAGGAATCTGCTGATGTTTGATTAGAGAATGAGGCTGAATTGGAGAATATGACGCTGTGAGAGAAAAAAATGACAATTAGTACTGGTTTCAAAAGGAAAGAGTTCTACATAAATCTAAAGGAGGAGAGTTTTCACATTAGAGTCACAGTCACGAGCAGGTATTACAAGTCTTTTCGGTATGAGTAATTTGACATTCTATGACAACATGTTTTCCTTGCAAGGCTAGGAACACTGGATAAAATAAGCTATACTGTGAACCACTGAAGGAAAACAATCGAGTCACATATGTCCAGGTGGCAGGACAGCTTCATTAACACTCAGTCTGTGCACTTGAGTGTTCCTCTTCTCTGAGGGGGAAGCAGCACTCAACAGTACAACACACAGGGTGACTTCAAGATCAAGAGCTCATCCTATCTATGACAAAACATGTCTTAAACAAATAGCAAAATCAATTAGCTAGAAGGCTTCCTAAGTGAGCGTTTTAGCTTGGATGATGTCTTTATTATTTGATCAAAATGAAACTATTTCACATAAAACTTCCATTGAATTAAGCAAAATACATGGCTGATTTTGTAGTGTAGGGGCCATTCCAAATCTAAGTGAGCAATCGTTTTCTTGCAGAGAATGAAGGAATAAGATCATGATACCTAAATAAGGGGTGCTGTCTATCCTTTCCCACTCAATGGAAACCCCAGAGTGAGTTGTAAGGAGTGCTACCTATCAGATCTCCTCCAGAGGTGCTCACCACTGGGAATATATACAGCCCAGGACCACCCTAAGTTATGAATGGTTCCCACCATGATACCTCTTTACAGGGGGAGAAGCTGATGAAATCCTCCCTACCTAGAACTGAAACTGAGTGCACTGGAAGATAAACTGAAATGATTGCTTAATATCACACAAAAATTACACACATCTAAGTTGTCGTGGTAGGCACACCTTTAATCCTAGCACATGGATCTGAGTTAGAGGCAAGCCTGATCTGCATACATAGCAAGTTCCAGGCCATAAGGAGAACCTGTCTCAATGTCTACACACACACACACACACACACACACACACACACACACACACACTCCAAAAACAGTCATCTAAATCAAATCTAAAGACAGAATTTATCTTACAATGTAAATATAAAAGTTATATAGCACTTTACATCCTTTTATATTCAACCACAGTTATGGCAACAGTCTTATACAAACTTCCAATAACACTTTTCTTAAATATTTCTGCATTTGATTATAATTCAAAATTCAGGAATCAGGCTAAAGAGACCTTTCAGCAGTTAAGAGCACTGGTTGCTCTTCCAAAGGACCTGAATTTGGTTCCTAGCACCCACGTGGCAGCTCATAACTATCTATAACTCCAGTCCCAGGGGATCCAATACCCTCTTCTGGCTTCCTCAGGCACCAGGCACACATGTGATGTACATATATATGCAGGCACAAGTCATGCATATAAAATGATATGTTTAAAAATTATAGCGATCCTTTAAAGAAATTAACATCTGCCAGGCAATGTTGCACACCTTTAATGCCAGAACTCAGGAAGCAGAGGCAGGCAGGTCTCTGAGTTCAAGGCCAGCCTAGTCTACAGAGTGAGTTCCAAAATAGCTGAGGCTACACAAAGAAACGAAAGAATGAAAGAAAGGAAGGAAGGAAGGAAGGAAGGAAGGAAGGAAGGAAGGAAGGAAGGAAGGAAGGAAGGAAGGAGAAAAAACAAAGAAAAGAAGTTAACATTAATATCTCAGAGTATTTAGAAATTTCACTAGATATCTACTAATTATTTTTAAATGAAGCTCAATGGTACAACACATGCATGTGGCATGGGCTCAAACACAGCACTGAAAAAAAAGAAAAATGAGGTCTAAAATTTAATCTAAAAATAATTTTTCACATAAGCTTACTAGTAATTCAAATGAAGACTGTAAGCTCTCTACAAGCGTGGGGACAGCTATGTTACACAGTGTTGAGAACAGTGACTAAATGCTGGGATTCTGGAGCTCGCTCTCAGGCCTCTCATCAACAGCTTTATAACAGCTGTGAAGTGGCCTTTAGCTCTTCTTTCAGATAAGGAAATAGATCTTTTTGCCGCCTCCTCCATTTAAAAAAGAATGTTATAATTTAATTTCATTATCTTTTTCAATACGTTTCATTTTTAATTATGTATCTATGTGTGGGTGTGTGCATGAGTGTGGGTCCCTGAGAAGGTCTGAAGAGGGCATCAAGATTCCCTTGAGCTGGGAGTTACAGGCGGTAGTGAACCATCCAACAAGGATCCTGGGAACAGATCTCCAGTCCTTGTAAGAATCATCACTCTTAACTGCTGAGTCTTCTTTCCAGTCCCACATGTAATCATAGTCCTGAACATAGGTGATATAGCCACTAGAATAACTTTGTGTGCTCTCGTAAGTAAATAATCTGACATTTCAGTAGAGTAGTAGTCTATTCTTCCTCTACATTACATTTTTCCTAGATCAAAAGCCAAAGAGTGCAAGAACAAGTCCTAGAATGTAGGACAAGGACTATGAGCAAGAAAAGCTGACTATGTCTACAAAACTGTGTCCTACTGGTTCATTTGTCTGACTTTAATGAACACTTTATTACTGTCAGAGTGGCCTAACATTTGAAAGATTAATAAGTGACATCATTTCTTATTATTTACAATAATGTATCATTTCATTCAATAATTACTGCAACCCATGAAGTAGACATGGTACTAAACTAATGCAATCTATGACAGATTAACTGAAATCACCTATCAAAGAGCAGCACAGAGTCTAAATGAGCCCCAAATCCTGAGTTGAGGGCTGTATTATAAACTATTTATGCCCCTTTCCCAAAATTCACCATGTTGAAACCATAACCCCCAAAGTGGCTATATATAGAGATAGAGAGGCTAGGAAATTAAGGTCACGTGGGATCCTGGGAGTGAGGCCCTGGCATGGCAGAGATCTGTATACCAATAAAAAGAGACACCAGGGCTGGTGAGATGGCCCAACAGGAAAGGCACTTGCTGCCAAGCCTGAGGACCTGAATTCGATGCCTGGAACCCACATGGTAGAAGGAGAGAACCAACTCCTACAAGTTGTCCTCTGACCTCAATGGACTCTGAAATGCTCATGCCCCTGCCCCACCTCTACACACAAAATGAGTGAGTACCTCCCCAAACAATGTCTTTAAAGAAGTCATCAGAGAGCTGTCCTCCCTTCCTGAGCACTCACAGCAAAGTCCCTCAGAGGACAGAGAGAAAGTGGCAAGTGACAAGGCAAAAGGACAATCCTCATCATACACTGCTAAGTGCCAGGCTTTGACCTGAGACTTCCAAGGTATGTATGGCATTTCTTGGTGGCAGTCAGACCAAACCAGTAGAGGATTTTTTCACTACGTGTTCAATTAGTTCTAGAGAAGAAAAAAAGGAAAAAGAAAAAAGCCCTCTAAAAACTGCTTAAGAAATATATTTCATGATTTCTAGATATGTAGTCAAAAATAAACTTTTGCCTTTATATATTAAAAATGGAATTATCAGTCAGGCATGGTAGGAGGCTGAGGCAAGAGAGTTGTCATGAGTTCAAGGCCAGCCTGGGCTACTGTCTTCTAAATAAATAAACAGAATTGCTAACAAGCGAAAGCTTCCACCCTCAAGGAGAAATGATAAAGAAAATCAAGTTATTTTTAGATCCTAAAATTACATGCAAGAAAACAGTAACCATGTCCACTATAGTAACTATTAGGCAACTACATTAGAATACAAATAGAGGGTCTGGTTTTTTCTCTATTTAAAATGACTGTTGGCATAGTTCTAGCTAAGGAAAACAATAAGATGACATGTCTCACTAGATACTGCGCCCTGACCAGTCACCTCAGGCATAGGAGGCCACTACTGTTCCACACAGACTCTAACAACCCTGGCTAGGTGCAACTTTGAGGCTGCGAACACTATGGACAATGCTGTGCAAAAACGCAGTTATCTGGCCTAGAGACAACGCAAACCAGGACATAGATATTTATTTAAAGAGAGAGAGAGAAGAAAAAGAAACATTATCTAACTAGAGCATGAAAGGCTTTATTAGCAAAGTTTATAGCTTGTCTCTAAGATTCATTCATGACAATCCTAAGCACTGTGGTAGCTAAGTAATGCTAATGGAAAAGACTAATAATTTCCAAAGTACAAGTGTGGGAAACTGGACATTTGGTCCAAATATGTACCCACTACCTATTACAGGCAAATGAATATAAGACACACCTTAGTGCTATTAAGATGAAAGGTAAATCTGAAAAAAGATGAAAAGATATAATAAAGTAGAATGCTAAAAACAGTGCCTCTCAGTCATTCCTGGACCACCTGCAAGGAGCTTACTGTCTCATAAAGACGCTTGAGTTTAGGAAGCATGGAAACAGTACTGTTATAAAAGTTCAGAGTAAAGAGACATTTCATCTTAGAGGAATCAGACAATGCCAAGATTCTGAGATTTTGTGAAGCAAAGAACACTGACAATACTAACACAGGAAAAATATGAGAAGTTAAAGGCTGTAACTTTGTGTTAGAGAACTTGTATGACGTGTGAGTGAGGCTCTAGATTCAATCCTCAGCACCAAACACACAGAGAAATCAGTCTAGGGAACAAAAGGTAGATTCCCATAGTATAGAACAAGAGACAGGAAGCTCACTCTGAAGGCCCCGACACTTTCCGTTTGGGAACCATGAAGCAGGGCTGGCTACCTGCAGAAAAGAGACCCTTGTGGCTTTAGGAAGAATGGGAAGCACTGATTCCTTGACAACTTCCCGAGATGAAATCCCACACTGGCAGTGGTGGGTGAGAGGCTAGGAAAATAAATTTCTTCATTTGCCCAATCTTTTGTTTTGAAAAAGTAACGAATTCTTCCCACTAATAACTTAAACAAAATGCAGGTTTTTTTTACTAAAAGCTTAAAATTAGATTCCACTAAAGCATACTAAATAAACTAAGACAATTCTTTTTTAAAAGCTCAAAGATTTTATCAATATAGAGACCAGCACATCATAGAGATGGTAAGTGCCAAGTAACAACAATGAAAGACCGTCTGTCTTGCTGTTAGAAGTTGTTTCAACTGCTAGGTTTGCTGCTTTTTTTTTTTTTTTCCCCTAAGATATTCAGGAGGTCTTCTTTAGTTGACAAAAACTCTCACTTTAAAATGTTTAAAACTGTCACTCTTATTCAGGTAGCATGCATCCTTTGTTTTGCTGTGTGCTAAGCAAACAAGAACGACAACTGCTTTCGATGAACATTTATCCCACCTGGTGCTATTAACTGGTGAATGCTTGATGTCCGAGTGACCGCTGTGCTTCGAGATTCCAGACTTGGGCTTCCTCCCTTCTTGCTCTCTGGAGAAGGGTCTCGTTGGCTGATTTTAGAACTGGTCACTGTTGTTTTATTATGGCAAATTGTCAATGACTGAGTTTGACCAGCGCTTTTTGGTGGGCCATTCTGTGAGCTAGATAAGACACCCAACTTCTGGCTGCGTAACGTTAAATTCTGAACCTACGAACCACATAACAAAAAGTAAAGATGAAAACAGAGGGCTTTAGCTGATACAGCGATCATTACGACGACGACAGTAATTAATATCGTGCCTCCCACACAGAGGTCCACGCTCCTGAGACAACTGATCAATCTTTAAGGAAACCCTTAAGGAAAGGGTACCATACACAAGCACATCTTAAATACTATGTGGCAGGTTGGAAAGGACCAAAGGGTGGTATGGGTCAGTTGTGAATGAAGAAGAGCGGGAGGTCGGAAAAACTGTGAGAAACGAAAGGAAACAAACGCGAAGTAAGGGAGAGGCCCATGGCAAACGAACCATACATGAAGAAATGGCTCTGACACGCACATGTTAGAAGTGGCCAGCTCTAAACGTGTTAGAGGGCAGTACTGTAAGACACTGACTCATCTAATCATCTGCTCCAGCATGATACTCATGAGAAGCATTTTCAGAAAGCTGTGAACATTGAAATTGTGTTACTGACCACTGATTGCCTTTGAAAACTGGCTTTTTTGAGCTAAAACATTATGCATAGCTCTGAAATGGGTCTATGTGATGCCCTGTCTAAACTGGAGCCATTCTAAAAATTCTGAACTGACAGAATTATCTGACTTCATCTCACTCGAGCTTATACCTTTCCAAATAGCAAGGCAGAAAATGCTTCACCAAAAGCTGCATAGCTTCTTGCCTATCTGGAACATGCACCAAATACATTTAGTGCAACAATGTCCTCAGAGGGTCAAAGGAAGCTCCAGCTGGACAAAGCCAACGGCATGCTTCCGCGTCTAACTTCTCTAGTGTCAGTGTGCTGACTGACTCGACTGCACACCTCAGCGGTGCTCAAGACTAACTGCCCGGTCCAACGCCAAAACAGTGCCAACAGAAGGTAAATAAAGGGTCATGTCAGGCAAGTTTCGATCAATTCTATAGCTACTGTTCATGTGTAGAAATGAAGTACCTCCCCATTCCACCCCAAAAAAAGACAGATGTACCAAAGGCTTGGTCCCAGCACAAGCAGTGCTCAGAAGTGGATGAGGACTGCCTTCATCAATGGTTTAATTAGAAAATGGACTTAAAATAGACTGAATAGACTATTAGGAGGTGGTGGATCTGTAGAAGAGGGGAGTGGCTGGAGATAGTTGGCCACTAAGGACATATCTCTGAAGGAGATTTGGGCCCTGATCCCTTCCTCTGTCACTCTTTCTGCCTGTCTGCCAAGAAGTAAGCAAGTTAGCTCTATCTATCTATCTATCTATCTATCTATCTATCTATCTATCTATCTGTCTATCCCTGCCATGACACTGTGCCTCTACACCCCAGGAAAACAACAGCACTGGCCCACCAGGAACCAAAACCACAGCCAAAATAAATTTCCCTCCTTTAAATTGTTTTTCTGGTTAGTTGTCACAGCAACAAAAACTGAATAATGCAACCACTGGAAAAACCTTCTTAGTGAGATCCTATGGAGCATCTTCTGATTTTCCTCGCACATTTCCTATTGTGCGTCAACATAGATTAGATACCATTAGTATTTAAGTTTCATACAAAAAGTCAAATGTAATGTATTCCTTGGGTTGCCACTCAAAGCCCACAATGTAGGCCCAACCCACACTGACCCCACTTTCTCTTCTCCAGTCTACAATTTTTACACACCTGCCAACTGTTCTCACTGTTCCATAAACACACCATGTACTTCCTTCATTTGGGGCTCTTTGTTCTGGCTCTGCTTGCCTGAACATCATTCTTTCTCAAGCCATTATCCCAAGTCCAGTAATCCCCTTCCCTCTCTCAGAAGAGCTTTCCTGGAGTCCTTTGTGAGACCTTTCCTGCTGAGAGGAGACTCTAGCTAATGGTAGAGTCTTCAGCACTGACTTTTACTCCTAGCAATTCAGAACTGTAAACACTGGAAACTTCCTAAGTCTGGGATATTCTCTTACATCTGATTTTGAAATCACATCGCATAGCTATCTGAAAGGTTATTTGGTTCCACTTATGGCTCTTCTGCTAACACTAAAATCTGTTCCTATTTACTAACAAACTTCCTCAAGCATCTTGGTGGAGACACATTAAAATACCTCAGGAAAGATAGGGATGTAGCTAGGGGGGAGGGCATTTGCCTAGTCTGTACAAGGCCCTGGGTTCCATATCCAGTATGACAAGAGAAAAAACAAAAAACTCTTATCAGGTACAGTGGCACAGGCCTATTATCACAGCACAAGGAGGCAGAGGCAGGAGGATAACAAACAAACTCAAAGCCAGTCTAAGGTACATAGTTAATTCCACCATAGTTAATTGGCCACACAGCAAGACCTGACCCTAAAAATAAATAAGTAAATAAACAAATAAGTGAAACAATAAACTCTCCCCGGAAGAGCTACATAATAGAGAATAAACATTTTCCACAAATGATTCATGCAGTAGACCATATAATAATGACAACCAAGAATAAATAATCTGAAAAACTTGAATGACTCCTTCCAGATGAAAAGAATCTCAACAGTAAGTGAAGATTTGACAGATGAGCCCTAACCCTTACACCACACCCATTCCTACAATGCCCTGCTCTTTTCTGGAATCCTGGAAGACAATGCACATGCCTCCACAGTTAAGTATGATGTTGTGTTCTACATGAGCTTGTAGACTTTAGCTAACCTGCTGCCATCTTCGATCAAATACCAGCTTGAAGGAAACAAACTACAACGTAGAAACTACAGCACAAAGGTAATATTACTTACTACTGGAAAGACCACATGTTAAGATTCTCAGGGTAGTTTCACTTTTGAGGAAAGAAAACCCATCCTGAGATGAGGAATAATGGGCATCCTAGCTTTAGTTTTCATTTCCCCTGAAACAAGCCTATGACTTTATGAAAACTTTGACATCATGCATGAGGTAGTTTTGCTAACTTCACTCTAACATTTTATGATATATAATGAATATATCACTACCAAAATATTCCCGGACTCTAGCATCCTCTCTTTGCAGTGAAGGGGTGGGTCAGTCTTGTGCTGGTCACAGGAGAGCTTTAGTTCCCAGCTTTTTAATGCAAAGAGCTCACTGCTCTTCAAATCAGCATTCCCCAGAATGCCCTTTGATAAGTAGGATTTCTTATCTTCCACAAACATCCTTTTTGTGCCAGTCATGGTGGCACACACCTTTAATCCCAGCACTTTGGAGGCAGAAGCAGATGGATCTCTGTGAGTTCAAGGCCAGTCTGATCTATATATAGTTTTCCAGGTCAGCCAGAAGTATACAATGAGACCGTGTCTAAAAAAAGGACTTTTTACTGAAGAAAAATTAACTGATATACTGACTTTTGTAGTTCAAATTAGAACATTAAACTACAAATCTGATACTCTCAATTTTAAAAACACAATTTTTTTAAACTACAGACTTAATTTTTTTAAAAAAGAAAAAAAAAAAGGGACAGTGGTGGCTCACTTCTTTAGTCCTAGCACTCAGGAGGCAGAAGCAGGCAGATCTCTGAGTTCGAGGCCAGCCTGGTCTACAGAGTTTCCAGGATAGCCAGAGCTACACAGACAAACTCTGTCTTGAAAAACCAAAAAAAAATTTTCAAGACCAACAGTCCTGAACCCAAAGTTGCGTCTTTGTTGGTCAGCATCCCCACCACTGCCAGCCTCATTCACTGCCGTTCAAAAGCAGTGTTCACAGAGATCCCTCCAGTCCCCGCACAGCCACAGACTATAGACAGGTCACATCCAATATTAAGTGCATTAAGGTCTCATAAGAATGTTTTCATCATGAGAAACAGTAAGCAAATTGAGCTCCAGACCATATTAAAGAAAAACATTATCTCCTAAGCAGCGGGTTTCTTGTGGAAACTATCAAACATTTAAATGGTTATTTATTATCTCTTCATTTCTAGCTTCTTGAAAGCTAAAAACTAAATGTGTGATTTGTCATCAGACAATGTCAAATAAAAACAGTAATCGGTAGATATGATAGCTCATTATGTGGCAGGCACTGTGTTAAGTAGCTTCTGATTGCCTCATCTGCCCCTTGTAACAACTGAGGTGTCATTTCTAATATAAAGCCATGAAACTGGAGCTTAGCAAGGGTAACTTTAAATTAGCATTTAGTGAGCCCTATCCAGCCAACTCTGTTAAGGAGCTGCAAAGGGCAGAGTTAAGGAAAACTCTGAGTTTACCTGACCACAACCTTTATAACTAATACATGAAAATTAGTCTTTATTATTAAATATATCAATACACAGAGGTTCTATGAAAAAAATCAAAGAATATTAATTATTACTATATCATTTTGTTTGTTTGTTTGTTTGTTTTTTGAGACAGGGTTTCTCTGTATAGCCCTGGCTGTCTGGGAACTCACTTTGTAGAGCAGGCTGGCCTGGAACTCAGAGATCTACCTGCCTCTGCCTCCCGAGTGCTGGGATTAAAGGTGTGTGCCACCACACCCAGCTACTCTCATTTCTTACATTTATCGGAAAGCTGAAATATGAAATGAAAAATAAAATGTACCAGGCATGGTGACTCATACCTGTACTTCCAGCACTGAGGAAGCTGAGACAAGAATATTGCCTCAAATTCAAGGTCTGGGGGGCAAACATCAAGTACCAGGCCATCCAAGGCTAGTAGCAAAAAGCTGTCTCAAAAAAGAAACTAAAAATATACCCCAAATGAACAAAAGATATTTTAAAATGTTTAATTAAATAAAAGGCCAAAGATGACCCAAAACACTTACTATGAAAAACAACAAAATAGCATCACATAAAGTAATAGTTCACTTGATTATTTTAACTTAAAGTTTACTCAATCTAAGTGATTTTTATGAAATTTACTGAGCTATCACTTACAATAAGCTGCTACTGTTCCATAAGTTTTGCCGTCCTGTTTTGACCCACAGTAGGTCAAAAATTTAGAACCAATACACTAAACATCCCTCCTAGTCAATTTTCCCTACCTCTATTAACCTAATTTTTTCACTATGGAGAGTTTTCCCTAGTCTGGAATTTTAAAACTACAGAATCACAGAGGATGTACTTATTGTGTCTAGCTTCATTTTCTAGCCATAATGTTTATGGGATGTATCAGTGATTTGTTCTTTTCACTTTTGAGTACTATTCCACTGTATGAATATAACACCATCTGTTTATACACTCAGTATTTAAAGAATATTTAGCTATTATAAACTATTGTATAGTGTAAGCCTTCATTTCAGCCATGCAGATGAGCATATGATGATGCTTATTATGGTTCTGATCCATATCTGTAATGATCTATGATGTTGAACACTTTTATCATGAGCTCATTGGCCTTTTATATATTGTCTTTGTTTGTTGAGACAGAGTCTCACTTTGTACTTCTGGCTGTCCTGAAACTGAGTCTGTAAAACAGGTTGGCTACAAACTCACAGATCTATTTGCCTCTGCCTCCTAAGTGTTGGGATTAAAAGCATGCACCACCACACCTGGCCTATATAGTGTCTTTTGTGAACTATCTCTTAAAATCTTTTTTTCCATTTGTAACTGACCTTATGATCAATTATTAAACTATAGGCATTTTTTTTATATTCTAGGTACAATCTTTGGTCAGACACATATATTGAGAATAGTTTTCCTCAGCCTGTAGCCTAGATAGTCATTTTGTAATGATTCTTTAAAAAATAATTTTTAGTTTCATTAAGTCTAATTTATCACTATTTTTGTTTCTAGTTAATCTTTTTTGTGCCCTAAGAAGCCTTGCCCACCCTAGACTTGCAAAGATGCTGTCGTGCTTTCTCCTAGAAAGTTAAATTTTTTATTTTTCCCGTTAGTCATACATTCTACTCTTAAGTTTATTTTTGTGAATAAGAGAGAAGTTAAAGTTCATTTTTTTCCATAGTACCAAATAAAGTAATACTCTACTTAAGTTTTTAACTTCAAGTTTTACCTGATTTAATTCATTTTTAAACTTAAAATTACCATCTACTTTGACTTATCTGTTATGTAACTGCTTGTAAAGGAAATCTACAAAAAAGAACATAACTCACATAAGAAAGAAATCTGGTATACAGTAAAACTAAAAATACAGTGTCATTAATAAAACTTTCATTAACCTTGATGAATGAACATCTAATAATCTAAATCTATGTTTAATTAGATTATCATTTCTACAAAACAAGCATGCTCTTGAAGTTCTCAGTGTTTTATGAATTTCACCTGAAAGGCACAGCAATGCACTCTGAAGAATGCAGTGGCCATCTTTCCACTGAGACCCAGACCTCCAGCACCACACTGGGACAGACAGTCTCACCTGAGCAGCTGCAGACTGACAGGAAGGTGACGGTGACGACGAGACAACAGGAATGTCAGACTGCACAGCAGCCACAGTGGTAGCGGGTGTGAAAATCAGCTGTACAGACAGAAAACCAAAAATAACACCCTAAGACTAAAGAACATGTCCCACACACGGTGTGTAGCAAGCAGGCAAGAGACTCAACTTCGTGACAGAGAGACAATGCCAGTTAGGACTACCTCCTAAGCAAAAGGCTTCACACGACAACAAAGTTGTGATCACAGAGCTCAAAAAAGTCATCAACAGCTTTGAAATAGCTCCCAATTCTGAGGGTAGAGGGATCTACTCTAAGAAAAGAATGTGTCTGGTGAGATGAGAGCCTCAAACCAAATTTTGTCCCAAATGGAAGCTACTATCTCATGATTCCTAAGATGGAAAATGAAAATAAAACTATGTTAGCATACAGATTAATATAGAAACATGAAAAGAAATACCAAAAAGTCTCTTCAGTCCACACAGCAACAGTGCCACATACTACACTACAATGTTTCTCAGCCACAAGAGACTGATTGTAGGACAAAGTAAGGTTGCTCTTGATGTTAGCCCTGTTTCTAAAGGACTATTTGTTCTAAATGTAAATGCTCGAATGTTAAAACAGAGCAAAACAACAAAATTGAAAAACAATCTATACATCACTATCTTGTTACAAACTTTTAATATTAAACAAGTACCATTAATTTCTAAGACAATATAATCTACTCAATCTAACTGGATTTAGTAAATAATGATAGGTTTTTTTTTTTTTTTTTTGGTTTTTCGAGACAGGGTTTCTCTGTGTAGCTTTGCGCCTTTCCTGGAACTCGCTTTGGAGACCAGGCTGGCCTCGAACTCACAGAGATCCGCCTGGCTCTGCCTCCCGAGTGCTGGGATTAAAGGCGTGCGCCACCACCGCCCGGCCATAATGATAGGTTTTAAGGAGTGTGTAAATACACAATTTTAAAGTCATTTCAAGAAGTACTCACTACCTTCCTGCTATTTAAACTAAAATGATCAACTGGGGACTTTTCTAATCTTGAACTTTACTGGTATGTATTAGCTATACAATACTGGGTTTCACTGTGATTTTTCATGCATGCACATACAAAGTGATCATATTCACTATCCCTTGCTCATATTTACCACCACATCCCCACCTTTCCTGAGCCCCTTATTTTCCTCTAGACCTTTTACATTTAATTCTTTACTCATTTACTGAATCGAAGTAAATTCACCAACAAATGTTCTTACTTCTGGTGCACACAGCCTGAAAGCACCCCACCCAGAAAGGAAGACACTCCTGTCTGAGCCTATGAATCGCTTGTTTTAAAGGTCAGAATCATCAAAAACAAAACAAAACAAAACTATTTCAAATGGTTCAAATCATATCATTAAAGACAATTTCATGGGAGAAAAGTAATAAAGAAGAAAAAGGTGATGTTTACAATTTGTGACCAAAGCTTGTGTCACAGCCTCACTTCCTGCCAGAAATAGGACTGAAAACTTGCTTTCCAATTTTCAATGAACAAATAGGGATCAGTACAGATTCAGTTCATTGGTCAAAATCTGCATATTAAGGAGGCTGAAGATGGTGAGTATTGAGAGGATACTTGTCTAGTGTTCATGAAGCCCTGGTTTCAATTCCTGGTACTGCAAAATTAACTATATATATATATATTTACATCAAAACATTTGCCTCACTGTACAAAATTATGTCAGCCAATGTCTACATTCCTTTAAGTTCAACAATTAAATCAGGAAATCAGTAGGTACCTAGTTATAGAATTATCAATTAACATTCCTATATTAATAAAAAAGTTGAAGTACACATAACAATGCCACCTTACAGAATTTGAGACAGTAACAACCAAAGCTATGAATTATCTGAAAAACAATGATCCAATCCAGATTCCAGAAGGTCCTTGGACATAAATTCTTACTTATAGTTAAAAACTAAGTTTTTAATGTTTCCACTATTTCCTCAAATCATCAATGTCAACAGAATAAATAATTTCTATATCACTGTAAGTATTAAAACTATAAGATGGCATCAGTAAGAAAAAGCTTTTCAATTGTGGAGATGTCAAAATATGAAAAAAAGTTTTTAAAATCAGTAACAATATTAAAAAATATTGTTACCAAGAAGGCATATTAATTCAAAGTGGAACTTTTATGCATTTTTATTAGTATTCAAAGGTTGAATGCGCGGCGCGCGCACACACACGCACACACACACACACACACACACTTGTTAAATACTGCTTAAGTACTAAAAATGCTTCATTGCATCAAATCCAGAAACATTTGAAGTCTCCAGTGCCTTAAGACACTGAAAAGCTGCTGTCTTTTATCTTACCATCTGAGCTCGGAGATACATTTGAGCTTGGCTGGCTGTTAATGTAGGAGAGGTACTCCCTAGTAACATCGTCTGTTGGGTAATACTGCCGCTGGTAGAACTGGAAGCCTGGGAGCGATTCATCAACTGAGCAGGTGTAGGAGAAGTGGAGAGGTTGATCTAAGGAAGAAAACATAACAGGTCATGTTTCCGTGTTTTGCCTCCATAGTCTCAACTTTACCAAGCGGAAGCAAGGCAATCAATGGTAGAAACCTCAAGGGCAGCCTCTGACCTTTGACAGAACTCTTCACTTTGGACAACTATTTGCATATAAGCACACAGCATAGACTGCTTACTAACTGGAACAACTTTCAAACACATCTACACTTCAGTAAGACTTCTAGCATCTTAAAAATGCCATTGCTTCTACCTGCCCACAATCAGGGCTAATGTCTAATTGCTTTACTATTCCACAGAGTGACTTTAAAATTCTAATTTTAAGACATTGTTTTGTCACACTGTCACACTTTGAGAAGCTCCTGAAGTAAACAAAAATTAAAACACAAATAATCCACTTATATATTAAAAAGACATGCAGGTAACATATAATTACTTCAATGTTTTAACTTAAAAGCTCTAAAAACAGAAGAAAATACAATTGCTATCAGTTAAACAGATGGAAAAATCCTGAATATTGGCTACGAAATTAATGTATAAACATTTTAAAGTTTAAAGTCACGATTAAGAATTAATTAGAAAGCAGATGTAGTGACTCATGTAATCCAGCACTCAAGAGGCTAAGGAAGGAGGCTTGTGGGTTAAAGGCCAGCCCTGGGCTACCGAGTAAGCTCCAGGCCAACCTGGGGTACACGAGATCTGGTCTAAACAAAAAAAAAGAAAAGAAAAAAGAAAAAAACAAATAGTATGTGGCTGAATAGGTGGCAAAAGCTTGTAATTCCAGCATTAGAAAGGCTGAGGCAGGAGGACTGTCAGTTCGTGGTGAGTCTGAGCTAAGCTATACTTCAAGTTCCTGGCCAGCCTGAGCTACATAACAAGATCCTAGCACAAAGAAAGAAAAGGTTAGTGTTTAATCTAATAAATCCCTGGAAAATACATCAGAACCTGTCAACTTGCTTGGATCTATGAAGGGAAAATGGAAAGGGGGAGGTGGAGAAACAGGGAAGAGAGAGATACATACATCCTTTTTCATCTTTCCAAGTCCTATCATGCTCTTGTATCATCCACTCTTTTTTTTTTCCTCCCAACCCCCCCCCCCCCCAATCAGAGTTTCTCTGTGTGTAGCCCTAGCTGTCCTGGAACTCACTCTGTAGACCAGGCTGGCCTCGATCTCAGAGATCCACCTGCCTCTTCCTCCCGAGTGCTTTTTGTGGACCAAGAGTAGAAAACAAAATTAACAAATAGGTTATTAGACTTCTGATTCAGGAAGAGAATACACATTCATGTGCTCAAAGATACTCTCGGAACTGCTCAATTGACATGAAATGAGAATGGAGTTAAAATACACAAGGGAGCAGTGGAGGGAAATGCTCAGATGTCAGTAAAAAATGCAAACCCAAACATGTAAGCAACAGCTGACACCAAGGTACCTCTAGGTTCGTTAAGCCTAAAAAAATGGAATGTCCACGTCAGCCTATTATATGGTAAAGCTGGAAGTGAAATTCCTATTTCAGATAAGATCCTGAGAAAGGCTGATCAATATATGAAAAGATCCACTCGTATATTCTGAGAAGCAGCTAGGAAGCTGTTATTCCTGCCCTGACATACTGGAAGGGTGGAGGGAGACACCTATGAGAATCAAAATTTCAGGCGTTTACTAAGTGTGGGCATGAAATCCAAAACACTCCCTGCATAGCCCCTTAATACAATCCAATACATTAACATTTGATGGGACAAAATGGTGAAGCAGGGCTCTCCAGCAATCTTCCACCAGAGGAAACATCAACTTGAAGTATCTGCACATGAAACTCCCTTCATGAGACCCAGGTGAGACACACAGGAGATGGTCACAACACAGTAAGAAAAGATGTTGTTGAAGAGAAGGTACCCTTTATATTTCCTGTGTTACCCCTCCCCCAGCCCCAGGCAGACTCTCCCAACTCCTAATTCTAGGCTGGTACCCACTGACTAAATCTTTCAACCTGCCCTTGCCCTAGATAGGACTCAAACTCTGTGATATGGACTGGCGTTTAGTTGCCTGCAATGACTTGAATTGCATACAAACCTCAGGAGCAGAGATGGGAGCCAGCACTCAGGGCCAGTGCTGCATCAGTCACAAGGACCAGAGGTTCCAGTCCAGGGCTAAGCCATTTCTGGAAACCACAGGCTATCAGCCCAGACTGCATTTTCAAGTTCTATGAAACAAGATTCCTGTTTTGCTTGGTTAATTTTTGCTCTTGATGCTGGTTTTGGTTTCTTCTTTCTTTCTTTCTTTCTTTCTTTCTTTCTTTCTTTCTTTCTTTCTTTCTTTCTTTCTTTCCTTCCTTCCTTCCTTCCTTCCTTCCTTCCTTCCTTCCTTCCTTCCTTCCTTCCTTCCTTCCTTCCTTCCTTCCTTCCTTCCTTCCTTCTTTCTTTCTTTCTTTCTTTCTTTCTTTTTCAATGTATTATTCAGTTCCAGGATTTGTGTTGGATTTTTTGTTTTAAATTTTAACCTGTTAACTTTCGCTGATGAAATCTTTGAATTGGTTTTCTGTATTCAAAGTTTTCAGTTTTCTCAAAGCAGCTACCTGAAATTCTTTGTTAGGTGGTTCACATAATCTATCTTGCTAGGGCCAGCAGTGGGTGACTTTTGTCCCTTTACTATGTCACAGCTCCCTGGACTTTTCCCTACCTACCCCCAGGTCTGAACCTTGCTACTTCTGTTTCTGTTTGTAGATAAAGTAGGTATTTGTTTTCAGTCCTTGCAGTCTGGCATGCCAGGCAAGTACTCTATGATCAAGTTGCACTTTCAGGCTTATTAACTAAAATTCTGAAAACAATCATCCTTGTTTTAAAATTTCCTTAAAAAATACTTAATACAACATGTGGTGGTATTGTGTTCCCCAAAATATTGTGTACCTTAATAAACTTATCTGGGGTCAGAGAACAGAAAAGCCACAAGATACTTAGGCTAGAAAATGTTAGCACACACCTTTAATCTTAGCATTCCAGAGACAGAAATCCCTCTGGATCTCTGTGAGTTCAAGGCTGCATTGGAAACAGCCAGGCATGGTGACTCACGCCTTTAATCCCAGAAAGCAGCCTTTAGTCCCATGGAGTGGTGGTAGAAAGCAGAAAGGTTTATAAGGCATGAGGACCAGAAACTGGAAGCATTTGGCTGGTTAAGCATTCGGCTGGTTAAGCATTCAGGCTTCGAGCAGCAGTTCAGCTGAGAGCCATTGGGATGAGGACACAGAAGCTTCCAGTCTGAGGAAACAGGACCAGCTGGGGAATTGGCAAGGTGAGATAGCTGTGGCTTGTTCTGTCTCTCTGACCTTCCAGCATTTACCCCAATAACTGGCCTCAGGTTTGATTTTATTAATAAAAACTTTTAAGATTCATGCTACAACACTCTTGTTAAAATAATTACAAAAGGTATGAAATAGAAATTTCCAGGCATACTGAGGATTCAAGTTTATTACCAATGTGTTCACTACAAGTAAGATGTCAGAAGACCTCTCACCAAACATAGTGTTCATCATAACGGCCTTTGACTATCTACTTGTCTGTATCTTTAGTGTGCTCTAAAACACCTTGGTTTTTTGAATTTTTGGTACTCAGTACTGTGCCTGACGGCACATCAGCATTAAAAAGTCCTAAACACAGGCTGGAGAGATCATTCAATCAGTAAAGTGCTTGTCACACAAGGACGGGTACCTGAGTTCGGTCCCAGCACCAACACAAAAGGTGGCACACATCTATAATCTCAGCACCGGGCAGGCAGAGAGAGGAGGATCCCTGGGACTTGCCTGATGGCTACTGTGAGGCAGGCAAGGAGCTCCAGGTTCAATTAGCGACCCTGTCTCCAAAACGAAAATGAAATATGATCACAATAGACACCTGTAGCACGAAGCTTAAAGAGTCTTATTAATAAAATCAAACCTGAGACCAGGTATTGGGGTGAATGCTAGAAGATCAGAGAAGCAGAACAAGCCACAGCTTCCTCACCTCGACAGTTCCTCAGCTGATCCTGTTTCCTCAGACTGGAAGCTTCTGTGTCCTCATCCCAATGGCTCTCAGCTGAATTGCTGCTAGAAAGCCTGAAGCTTAACCAGCCAAATGCTGCTAGTTTCTGGCCCTCACGCCTTATATACCTTTCTGCTTTCTGCCATCACTCCCTGGGATTAAAGGCTCGCTTTCTGGGATTAAAGGCGTGAGTCACCATACTTGGCTATATCCTTGAACACATGGATTTCTACCTCTAGAATGCTAGGATTAAAGGCGTGTGCTACCACTGCCTATCCTCTATGTTTAATATTGTGGCTGTTCTGTCTCTGACCCCAGATAAGTTTATTAGAGTGCACAATATTTTGGGGAACACAATACCACCACAGACACCCTCTGTGGACTTCAGTCTTCCACACACAAGGATGAATGCACACACACCCAAAAGTACTGGAACAGATTCTTCTCCTAAGTGTAAAAGACTAACACAGAATCCAACATAATAATGACACCTGAAACTGAGCTGTTTCAGAATGAGCTCTGAAAACTTTTTTCTAAAAACTAACATCCCATATAAGACTAATGTATGTATTACAATCCCCTCAAATCTTTCCTGTTCACCACCATGCTAGTTAAGAAAAGGAAGCTAATTATCACTTGATTATATACGTAAATACTTTCTATGTCTAGGTATAATTCTTCAAATGAATATTGCTGTCCATGAAAGAAGGGTCTGTAACTCATGTGCATACTCAAGACAACTAGCACCAATTAAATGCTGAACAATAGATAATTGGCTGCCTTCCCATAAGCACCATCCGAAAATCTCATTATTACTAGGTCAGAATCAGACCCTCTTCTATTGCCCAATTTCAGACAATGGGACTGTATCCTAAAAGGATTCTGTTTGCAGATAACCTACTTGCAACAATAAAAAGCCTATATTACAATTATCTATTGTATATTCTAGCTTATTCTCATTATTCCTACCATTCACCCTTCAATGAAATAGACACTTA